ATCTAGATTGCAAATGTGGTTTTGTTTTAAACTTGATTTTGGACATCACCTGAGACAATTGGAGACCTTCTGAGCTGTTTGGCGTGCCAATACTGATCCCGTAATTATAATGAACGGGGTATGGAAATTATCCGGTAGATTGCCTACTAGCTGCGCCAAAGCCTACATCTCATGATGTCGCTCCATAGCTGCCGACCATGTTGGACATATCATACAATACATATTCCCAGGGGTATGTACGTGCATATGTGTAGTACTACTAGTAAGTAGATTACATGTAGGTACATACATAAAACCCACACTCTAATTCCCAGGATCCATTACAGTGGATCCGAACCTAATTGTACGTGTATTTACTGGGATACATATACGCCCTGTTAAACACTAAACGCGTGCCTTTGGTGGGATGCATGTTGGATATGGATAAGTTTATAAGCAACAGACGCAGTCTATGTACTCTCTGTAAGTACTCTGTATATACATGTACTACTCGGGGCAGGCAAGAAAAACCTGAAAATGCAAGTTGCAAGCAGGGGCTCAATTTGGATAGCTTTTTGCCAGCCGCGAATCAGAGGTCGTTACCATAAAGAGTTCTTCTTGCCTTCCCTGAGTACAGTGCCAAAAAAGTGGGCGGATTCAGTACCTTACATACATATATCTAGCAGAATGCCACGAGATTACAGCACATGCACAACTAACGGTTTTTTTTTGGTAGTACTGCAATGCACCTTGTTATATCCTGCGCTACATAGACTAGTAAAATATACCTACATAGAGATGTATTAATATAACGACCAGCCATGGCCATCTTAAATTGAGGCTTCCTTAATCTACTCATGAATGTTTATTTCTGTTGACATCGAGCGTCATATACTGCCTGTTAGTTTGAGGTACGTACGGACAGGATGACAGGGCAGGACGGGTTAGGACGAGTGAAGAGGTTCGATGTCAAGGCCGGGTGGGTGATATTACTAGTACTTACCAGAGTTGTGGTCAACGACCTCTCTTATGTCTTTACTCCCTGATCCCACTCGCTTCTGTAATCAAGCACGAGCAATCATTAAAAGCTATCATCGTTTTCAAAAACTTCTATCTTTGTCGACGATCCCTTGGGTTTTCTTTCGGCTTGACCAGTGCACCACCATAATTATTGAAAATTATGCAAATTGAGTAAGATGTTGGCAGAGTTGGTATTAATTACATGTATACGTGTAGTAGATGCCTAAATGTTTATTAATCAATCGACGGAAGAAAGCGCCGTGCTGCTGGGAAATTTAATCTTGCTACTGGAATTCCCTGGGGGCAGGAATCGATATCTGAAATGTAGGTGCATACTACATGTAGTGAGCTGGAATTATCCAATAAACTTAGTAAAATAACTATGACACGTACTTAGTTCGATCGTGGAAAATAAAATCTTATTATGTAAATTACTTATTTTAACTGTCAGAGAAATTGATTTATCATATGTTATTGACTACATGTAACTAGTTGTAGGCTAGCGCTGAAAATTGGTTTGAGACTCATGCAGTTAGCTACATGTACATACTTACGTATACATGTTTTGAATTAGCTAGCTAGCCGCTGATACCAGGCGACTAATAGGCGAGTGAGACCATATGATTTGAAAAGCCGGCGCATTTAAATATTTATTATATAATACATGTAGCCGCGCGTGAGGCCGGGTTTTAGTACTCTGCTCGTCAACATTCGATCCTTCATGATTAAATGATCAGCATAACCGGTCTATGCTCAGATCCGAGTCAGAAGTCAACAGTTAAGTCACCTTCCCAGCGGTTGGCCTATGGCTACACACGTAGTGATGAAATCCTGGAATTAACTGATCTATCGCAAAACCTGAGAATATTTGTTGCGAGACAATGGGGGTATATATAAGATCTCCACACAGTACGTCTTTGAACGTCAATCTGCGGTATCTCTCCGGCTAGCATCGATATCGATACATCATGGACTCCTATATTGGCTCATGTGTTATATTTTTTTGCGATATGGTTACATGTACATATGACGTTTGCAAGTGGTGAAATTGTCTTAATGAACTGAATTTGATTGATCTTTATATAAGGCATTGCTATATACTTTTTTCTTTTTCTTTTTTTTAATTTACAGACGTCAAAACCCCGAGACGTTTGACATGTAGTTATATTTGAACGCTATGCGCATGCTATATATAGCTATACTGAGCAATCCTGTATACAAAGCTTAAGCTGAAGGAGATATATACCGATGGAATTCGAAGGAATCTTTGACTGCTGATAGTTTACCTTTTTTTTTATATCATGTAGTTGCTGATAGTTTACCTTTGTCTATAGATAGTATATATATAAAGTGTGTCCAACAATTTACAAGTAATAGAGGTATATGCGTATATTTAATTTTGGTCATAGATTGTGTTATAATCCTGAATGTGGTTATCTCAATCCCGCTACTCTACATATATATTTACAGTGAAAGCTATATATATGTATTGATTAAAACAATGCCATATTAGAATATATTACAGTATACGTATGTCTTTCCTTATATCAGTGCAGACGTACTCCAACCATCTTGTCGCGTCGGCAATTGAGTAAGAACAAATCTATCAATTTATACGGCGGAGATAGACCAAACATGCCATTGATACCCACAGATCCCACCTATGGCCTGTGAGATTGATCAGTTGAGGGCACATTCTTTACTACCTAGCTGAAGTCACATTATATTATATCGATCTTCAACTTATACATTTCGCATATGCAGGGTCATTTTTAATCATGCGATCTCGGCTTTGATTCCAATATATGTATATGGCCATTTTTCAATAGGCGAATGTTATGCCCAGTCCACCGTGCTCCTCTGAAGATCGACGATCTTTCTCCCAGCTTGCGGAACATAGACCCGACAAGGTACTCGGAAGAGTCCCGTAGGATTTCATACCCGGTTTGGGTATTACTTTGCCGGCAAAAACCTCAAACTACCGAGGATTTAAGACCTGTGTTGTCTAGAGCTGGAGCAAGTTTAGTTTGGAATACCTAGTGATAAAGGTTGAGTGAAGCTAGAATGGTGCAACATGACTTCATATCCGGCATTATAAGAGGTATCCTTTCACCCTGCAGTCATTAATAAATCAGCACTATCCCCTCCTTCTCTCGATTCCCAGAGCTTCATTCCTATTGTTAAGTGCAAGTGGATTTTTAACACACAAGATCGTTGCATAGCTGCAAGGCGTTTCCGAACACAGCTTTGTCATGTTGGAGTAGTTCCGTGGGGTATCTGCTCTACAATCATATCTAACTCCGAGCTCCGGCTAATTCGTTGATGCGCGTTACGTTTTAATTCTGATCTATCCAGGCCGCGGGCAAATCTGACAACATGGTGAACCAACAAATATTTTCGAAAAAGAAAGCTATGTATGAGCCACAATTATATAGCTAGACGCCAGGTACCAGTCATGCTTAAGCCACGCACAGTTATCTGTTGTACTTTGTGGTGCTGAAACAAGGATCGACGCAACAACACCGAATCCTAGGTCAATGATTGGATAGACATTAAATGTTGGTGTCTCTGCAGTGCAATCCCCGCAGCAAACCAAGCACCACCGAAGAAAGGAGAGCGAGCCTGCTTCATGCTTACTGAAAAAAAAAGTTGATAACTAACGAGATAGTTCTGATTGGATTGAGTTGGTGATTTAAAGTAAAACTCTTCCGTCCCTGTCTATCGAGAAGCGAGGTCTCGATATTGTATGCAATTAATGGATTAAACGAAAGAAAAAAAGAAAAAAAGAAAAAAAGAAAAAAAAAGCGAGGTCACGATAACTAGTGCTGATCATGACAACCGATAGGGCGAAAAGGAAAGAAAGTTCCAGGGTAGTAAGCACGTTGAAGTTTTTTCTAGCCAATGGATATATGTTACGGGGGCAGTTCCGGCCGGCTCCTAGCTAAGACTGCATGCAGGTTCTGGATAGATCTATAGAGTTTAAAGCCTGGATATGTAATGGATTACTCTACTCTAAATTAGATTCGGCAACACAAGATATTCTCAACCGTTAGCGTCCTTAATTCGATTGGACGTGACGTGACAGCAACTTTGGATTTTATTTTAGTTATCCTGACAAATTCTCTTGACTTTAGATTCTATCTAGCTAGGAGGTTTGGGCGGCGTACTTCTAAGCTGTACTCTATAGTAGATCCGACCCCTTCATTGGGTATGGTACAACAACTACAAACGTCAAAAATGAGTACGAATATTTCAAATAAAGACTTCTGCTGTCTTGACCTTCCTACTTCCACCGACTCCTTCTCGCAATCGAGGAAGGTACCGTACCCCCGTGAAGGCATACGTCTACTGAGATAAGGGTAAGTGTAATGGTTTGGAAATCCTTATACGGGAAAAGAATACATCAACATGCCAAGATATGTCCATGGAACTGCACATGTCCATACCTGTGGGTGTTTGTTAATAAGTACAAGTATCCCGATGTCCAATTCTTTATGTTACTGGTTGAAAATCTAAACCGTAAATACGCCTGGATATATATGCACTCTGCCCTCAGACAACATTCTGGGGAGCGACGTGACTGCAGCTGATTATAATATGTACTTAAGTTGCACATTGTCAGTTGAATTAATGCAGAGACGGCAGACCCATCTTTTAAACTCGTGATCCTTTGAATAGACAATATATTGCTCCCACGCGTACGTAAAAGTGTCTTTTCGGGCATAAATAGAGTGTCGCTAGTAATAAACTAAGGATGATTTAGTATTCGAGTGATGGTGCATGATGAATACACCTGATATATATCCTCGACTCCCATACAAAAACCATTGTCCCGGCTTTGAGAAAGCAACATAAATCCATAATTCCCTCAACGCTTTAATTTGACCAATGAAACAAGAAACAAATTGAGAAGAGCTCGCTCACGCTATCAAAATAAACAAACAGGTAGTACGTAATGAAATTAAACTAGAAGAAAAGAAGTCACCACCCCGAGTCTTCCCCTACAATTCACCGTCAACAGAAGTCTTCGGTTCTACACCCTCAGGCTTGGCAGCTTCCGTCTCTTTGATGCTAGCACTGCTGCTGACAGCTTCAACTGGTATAACTACCTCCTCTTCGACAAGAACCGTCTTCTCAATGATTGATGGAACCCGCTTCGTGGGCCACAAACTCTCCTTAATGAGCTTTTTATATCCAGCGACAGCCTCAAAAAGGTCAGACTTAAGAACATATTCGTTGTCAGAGTGTGCAGTTAAGATGCTACCAGGTCCATAAAGGTATTTCTTATGTTCTCCGTGAAGGTTGGGGACATCAGTGCCGTATGAGCATACGATGCTTTGGAAACCTTCAACATCATAATCAAGCACCTGTGGCCCATAAGTAACGCCTAGAAGTTTTATCTCCACAGGAAGATTCTGAACGCTCTTCTGAATTACGGCAAGAGTTTCGTCGAGATCGCCAGCAACTCTGACAAGTACAGATGCTATAGCGTGAGGAGAGATCACATTAGCGGCAACACCCCCCTCAATCTTTCCAACATTCATAGTCGATTCTCCAAGGAGATTAGAGGACGGCAGCTTCGCGTTTTCGAGATTATATAGCGCCCGAATGAGATGGCTATTTGCGTTGACCCCTAACTCGGGATATCCTGAGTGGCTTGCTCGACCCTCGGCGATGATATCAAACATGATTATCCCCTTGTGCCCAACAGCAAGCTTATTTTCCGTAGGTTCGCCGAAAATAACCGTTTTCCACGCGGGGCCGAGTTCATTCGCTGCCTTCATACCATCACCAGTGGTCTCCTCACCCACCACAAATAGGAGGGAGACGTCGCCTTCGTGGATTGTAGATGATGCAATCAACTCTTCGACGGCGATTATTTGTGCGGCAACGCTTGACTTTGCATCATTTGAGCCGCGGCCGTAAATGCTCCCCGATGAGACGCGGTAGGGTATATAAGGCGGGACTGTGTCTATATGAGAGGTTACGAGGGTGTGGGTTGTACGGTTTTGACCGATATACGCGAAGATATTGAACCTTTCGCCATCTTCTGACACACTTTGTGTTTCGACTGTGAAATTCTTCGAGATGAGATAGTTTGAGAGCCATTGTCCAACCTCGCGCTCGTTGCCAGTGATAGATGGGATATCGATAAGGGATTTGTGCAAGGAGAGCAGCGGAGAAGTTGAGATCGGGTCTGCATATTTCTTGATGAATTGTGGGAGCTCAATAGATTCAAAGCGCGTCTTGATCGTCTCAAGGGTGAATGGGAGCTTGAAAGCACTCGATGCGAGAGGGAAGAGAAGAAAAGCTAGAGGGGTCGAGGAGACCTTCATTATTGCAAATAATGTAGGAGACGCAGTATAGGAGGAGGAGAGGCGATTGTGGGTGTAAGTGGGTATCTGAATCTCGATGGTGGTGAAATACAGAAATATCAAGGCACAGACCACCGGATGACGCTGCCAAGTTTCCTCCCCAACATTTCTCGTCCGGGTAATGCGTCACGTCTCCCCGCAGTTTCTCCACGCGTTCACTCCTCGGGTCCCTGCCCCCACGCGCAGCTACTTCAAAATGGATATCGATGACCTCCTCCAAGAGTTCGAAGATAAGAGTGTTCCTGCCGGAACCCGTGATATTAATGATCTCACGCAGGCATGGATTGCAGAACGGACGGCCCCTGAGATTCTGCCCTACCAGAATGACCTCCTCGAGAGGCTGATGGAGCGGATACGGGCGCAGGTACGGTAGTTCTAAGAATATATTAGGGCTTAGGGGCATGGAGGAAAAGCTAACTTACTCCACGTCTTACTTTTCTCGTTGAGAACAGATTGAACTAGTTGAAACTCAAACGGGAGACCTGGACCCAAAGACGAATTTCAGCTTAATCCTGATCCAGACAGAGCTCGAAAGGGTCAAATTCCTCGTTCGCAGCTACCTGCGCGCGCGTATTCATAAGGTATTCGTACTTCTCTACTGCGATCATCCTTTCAAGCCTTACTAATTACCCCACTAGATTGACAAGCACGCAATTCACATCCTCACCACGCCTACTACTCGTGGTAATCTCAGCGCCCCTGAACTCTCATATCTGAAGTCCCACCTCGCAATACTCAACTCCCATTACCTGTCATCCTTCCTCCGCAATTTCCCCGAGCAGCTGCGCCGCCTCGACGACAAAGCTGGAGGTATATCTATGGTTGAGGAGCCTGACCTTGACGGCGCAGTATTCTGCAAGGTTGTACGGGATGTCGAAGATCGTACAGTCAAGATTCTAGGGACAGATGCTGAGTTTGAGCTCAAAAAGGGGGACATCTATGTCGTTAGATACTCGGCAGTTAGGGAGTTTGTATTGAACGGGGAGGTGGAGCTTATTTAATTCTGGGCACTGGCGTTATGGATTTCTTTTTCTGACATCTTCTAGTAAATATTTATCAATTGGTCATAGCTTTTTACACAAATATCTTTTTCGTTGATGGGCCAAAATCTGCAGGTATGAGATCAGCGTTTTTAAGCTTGGATCATGTAATATCACTCGCTCAGTATCAGGGTTTTCTGAAGAAATTTTTTTTTTTTTTCGTTTAATTCATTAATTACATATTTTCTGAAGTTAATTAATAACCCATTCGTGTACCTGAAGTTGTTAATTTATTGGTTGAAGTCCGCCTTGTAGTTGCCCTGGACGAAGTGAAGGGCTAAGAGCTTATATCGCCAACCTCTGATTGGCTACCCCGCTGGACTAATATTCCTAACCTAAAATAGTAATATTTAGGCCCTACTTTACGAAATTAAGTATCGCGAGGTTTCGATTGCGACTGATTGATAATTTATTAATTGTATGATTTCGACTACGAGCTAGGAGGCACTTGTTTAGAAATTATTTTAAAGTCTTCGTTCAGGGCATACGACTGCCCCTAGAATAAAGTCAGAAACTGGGGCATCATGCCTAGTATACATGTTTTAGGGAGATCAAAACTGAGGGTCCTTGGCCACAAGAAGAGACAGAACTAGATGTGATATCAATTATATCAACTATCATAATGGGGTGTAAACTCACTACGCCTTAAATCGAATAATTGAGGCAATTATCCTGGAGAAGATGTTCTTGAGCTCTCATAAAGTCTTCATTCTCAAACCACAATTATCAGTATACTAATATAATACATACCGTCTCAGGATCCCCAACCCATTTTGATGCCACTGCAGGCCGCCACATGACCCTCATTGTCCCCATTTTAAACCCTTCGAGAAACAAGATACAATGCCCGACATAGCAAACCCGAAGAAAAAAGAGAGAGAAAAAAAACTAAACCGCTTCCGACTCCTCCCCACGTGAACATGCCGCTTATGGTGTTACACCCTTGAATATGAAAACGAAAATGTCGATGCAGAGCAGACATATATCCATCATAATGTGGAATGGGCAGAGTGGCGACGAAAGAGACCCCAGAACACAAATGACAACTCCATGACAAAAAAAAAAAAAAAAAAGCAGTAGAAAACAAACCATAAGATACATTGAAAAGATAGATGAGGGCCTTCCATCTTCCCCGGCCCCACTCAAACCTGCCTACCTTACTAGTGGAAAGACTTCCGTATCCATCTAATTACACAAACATACTTTTTGGGGGGAATTCACGCCAGATTGAGACCAATTATCAAGGGGTAAAATAAAATAATAGAAAGAAGTTTCGTAATGTAATTGAACCGATGACGTATGATTTACTGACGGGGAGGTGACGAAGAGTTGTTGATGTGTTGGAACAAAGCTCCAAATAGCCTTTCAATCTGTTTTTGGGGTCAGCACAAGTACATGAAAGGAAGAAAAGAAAGAAAAAGGAGGGGGGAGGGAGGAAAAGGAGAATTCGGTCGGTACCTCTGGTGCTGATTTGATGAATGGTAGGTTCCAGAAATCATAAGTTGGATTCTTGAGTAACTCAAGCAAAGTAATGATCAATCCCCATGGATGTGGTCGATGAACAATCAACCTTTCCAACAAAACACGCGTAATTTGCTGACGAACGTCTGATTCGGTAGACTTGTTCTGAACAGGCCCGAATAAAAACAAGAGCAGATAACTGAAGTAATGGGTGTGGCTGTTCGGATAGCGAAGATGGTTCGCAATTGCACTTAAGAAGAAATAACGTGCTTGGGGACTCAGATCTGCAGCTAGTCTTGCGAATAGAGCAGCATGGGGACTTGCCGTCTGAAAAGATAAGCCCTTCGCGTTCATATCTTTAATTGCCTCCATACCAACATACAGAACAAGACTGTTGAGGATGCTCGAGTTGATAGTGACAGTGTTAAAGCCTAGCCCTGCTTCTTTCCTTGGTTCGGTTTCTAGCCTGTCCAAGATCCCACGAATTGCGGTGTTACTGGGCCCATCGGTAGAAGCTAAACAAGAATCCACCAACTCCTTAACTCCACTCTTGACGAGAGGTTTGAGAACATCCCCACAAATCTTCGGGGCGATCCGAATTTCAGGAAGGCGGTCCACTTTCAAACCCGCAGTAAACGGATCTGGGAGGTCTGAAAGCGTGGAGGGGTATGCGCTTAAGATGAGATTGCGCAGCTGGGTGCAATGTACTGGAATGACCTCGCAAATCGAAAAATGCCACTCAGCAAGGAACTCCGGGAAATCGTGATGCAAGACCAAAAGAATCCTGAGAACACCCCTGTAAAGAAGTTTGATGACCGGAGGAATGGGCAATTCCTTTAATAGAGTGCCGATGTATATCAACATCGTCTCTAATATTTTCGCAAATGTAGAGCAGCCTTTATCACCCTCCAGCGTCAGGAGCTTTGGCATAAAATACCGATGGCAAACTAGGGTCATCCAATGGAAGCTGAACATTGGGAAGAAAGCTGGTTGAATTGTCAAAAAACACTCCGAGAAGACCATTAATATCCTTTCTTGATATGCTCCCAATTGGCTTTCGATGCAATGATATTCGTATAGCATACTTGAAAAAAATCTGAAAAAGACCTTCTGAGAAAAATGTTCCCCGCGAGTCTCATGGTGGAAATTAAACACGAAGACGACCAGAGCTAGGATGCTGTTGAGATAATCCGCCTTGTCCAAGAATTGGCCCTTTGAATCGTCCTCCACCTGATATTTAACCAGTAATATGACTAGCTTCGCTAGTGCATCAATAGGAATATAGCAGTTGGTTTGGATGCTTCCACCATTGACGGTAGTCTGCTCGTACTCGCCGATACAGAATTCAATACAGGTTCGGAAAAACTCGCACGAAGATGCCATGTCTGCAAGGACCTTGCCCTGATGTAGTTGCATGATGAACGCTGAATAATTCTTTTCCGTCGTAGAGAGATGTTGACAAAGCTGCATCCATTCAGTGAAAATGTACTCCATCTGATCTCTCTTCTCGCGGTCCTCCAGATCGAGCTGATCTTGTTCGTCCTTTTCTTCCGGCCCTTGAATTTCTCTGACCAGATCTAGAGCAACCTTATTTGTTGGCTCCTGTTTCAGCCAATGGCCCAAAGCATCAAGAGATGCCGCGAAATCGGATCTCAGGACCAAAGGGTTTGGGCCCAAAACAGTTTCTTTCATCACCCTTGACAAGAACTCTAGCGTACGCGGCCTTCTGGTGTTGAGAGATTTGGCAATGGTGGTGTCTAGATGTGTAACCGAAATCAAATCCGTCTTCAGGAGCATGACCGTAACAGGGGCGTTAAAGAGTCGCTTTACATTATTAGTCAATATCATCTTAAGACTGATTAAAACTCATACCTCGTCTTCTCGTGGCTGAGCAAGCCATAGCACAACATCCTGCCTGGTACTCGCCGATAGCTCACACACTTTCCGCAGGAGATAAACTAACGCTTCCACTTCTAGCTGAGTCTGATCCTGCCCATCAGTGAATAGGATTTGACAAATTTGAGAAGCCACTGCTGAACATAGACCATCTTTCACAGGGCGCGTGAGAAGCGGGTGGTTGGCAGAGATACTCTGCAGAATTGCATTGCAGAAATGGAAGATAAGGTGTTCTGTGCTAATGTCTTCAAGGTGCTCTTCATCACTACTTCGAGCAGCTCTTCGCATTTCGCTTAAAAGAGACTGTGATTATTAGTATTTCCCAAACATTGTAAGCAAAGGCTTAAAATGTTGCTTACCCCAATTTTAATATTTAGCTCTTTCGGATCAATTTGAAGTTGCTGATGAACACTGGCAGATTGTTCCTGGGCCCGTTGTATATCAACGATCCCGGTTGATTGAGCCCCACCTGACATATACTCTGACGGGAAAGGGTCTGTGAAGGAATTCCTTGCTGCTGCCTCATGAGTTGCTATCCTCGAACCCCGGCCAAAATCATCGTAGACACTCATTTGCTGTGGTGTAATTCCCCCAGGCTTTAACCTGAACTGATCCGGGAGGTGGAAGGCGATTCGAGGAATATTTGCCGCCATGAACGGGTGCTGAAGCCTTCTTTCCCGATGCTGCTTGCGCGTTTGATAGGCTTGAGCTAAGCTATCATCAATTTCAGGGATCGCTCGATCTTGCGCTGTTTTTTCAATAATATTACAAGCGAGATCAATATTGTCGTTAACGCACATGGTGACTGTTTGATCTGAAACTGATGCCTCGTTATATCCGTTCTGAGCAAGTAATGAACGGATATTGTTCGTCATACTCATGCGTAGTGGGTCTTTGCAAGTTACGTGCGCAAGACTACCAGCGAGATGTCGGACCAAATTATGCGCGGCACCCCTCATCTTACTTTCATCGCCTTCCGTAGCATAGTCCTTCTGAATAAGCTCGGAAGTTGAGATACTGGCAATTGTAACAGATCTCTCAACGACTGGCCCGATGATTTCCCTAATTGCGCGATCAATCGCAGTCTGCAATATCCTTTTTAAAGCAGGATGCTGGATTAGAGAGTTTATTATAACTTCGTCTGCATATCCAGAAGGAACTGGGTCGGTAATCGGTGCGAAACCTTGAGGCGGCTGTAAAGAAAGATCTTCTATTGGCGGCAATGCCTCCTCTTCTTTCACAACAGGCCTATCTCTAGTCTCTCTAATATCGGTTGCAGGCTCAATTGTTTTGATGTCTAACCCCAAGTTTTTGCAGAGAACTTCAATCTCAAACCTTGAGTTAAGTTTGAGCTCAACATGCTGATAAAGTTCTGCTAGGAGACGAATAATAGCCATCAACCAAGGGTTCGGAGGTTTAAACACTGTGGATTTTGTCGATTGCTCAAGAACCTTGCGTGTGAATGGCAGAACGACACTCAGTCTCTCAGTGATGTACCCCTCAATAATGAGGTCCTTGAAAGACACATTCTTGAACTTTATGGGTTTATCTTTCGCAATTGTCAATCCTCCCAACCAACTCGCAAGTTGTTTCAAGTATGTCCTCTCGCTGGCATTTTGCATTGTGGCTTCTGCGTTGAGCATTCCAATGATATTGATGTACGTCTCCCGTAGAACCTCTGCCATCAACCCCTTGTGACCGAATTTGTCCAATAAATCCAGGTACAAAGGGTGGTAGTTAGGTTCCATCTTTGCGCGCTTGACAACTAAGTAGTCGGCGAACCATTGGTGATGTTCCTCCTGTAGAGCGTCTTTGAGATCCTTGAGTTTACTATCTAGGTTTGTATGTGAAAGGTTGTTAACAATAAACAATACCTTATCCTGCACCTCGATATCTGGGTCCTTGTACAGTGACTGATCGCGAAGTGGTGGGTCTGCATTTACAGACTGGAAGTGCGGGTGGGATGGCTGGACGGGAGACGGGGGTTGAACAGAGGAATTGCCGTTTGTCAAGGGAGGAGCAAGGTCATCAGAGTCTGAACTTCCGTTAACAGGTTGTGGGTCAACCTGTCTATCAGCTGTACCCGCGATGACGTCTTGCACAATACTCCAGATATCTGTCCCCTGAAGACCGGGAACTTGTGCCAACAATTTGCAGTACTCCTTCCATTCTTTCAACCGGTCCTTGAAGTGCAAGAGTGCTTGGAGTCCAAATTTGTACATTGTAGACGATGGCTCGTGATCGCGTACAGCTTGCCATACCATTGCCAAAGCAACGCGCAATGGAATACCGTCGATCAGCTTGTATAGAATAATACTCCCAAATAAAACAGAGGTTGTAGCAAGGGCTTGAAGGGGGTACGAAGGGTAACAATGGTATTCGTCAAATAGACCATGAATCATACAAGCAAAGAGGTCCTGTTCTTGAGGGACAACGGAGATCTTGAGCTTTTGAAGATATTGGACCACCTCATTGAGCTCGGTCTCTTGACTATACATCATTTTGTAGTTCTGTTGCATATCCTTATCAACGTGAGGCGGAAATCCATTGCTTTCGGCGTTATTTTGCAGGATAATGGCGTCCAGTCCAGAGCCGAGGTTTATTAGACGGGGATAAGCTTGTATACAAAGGCGTTGACATTCTGTGACCCGCTCCTGATGCTCTTGGGTCATCGGTGGTTGACTAGCAAAACATTAGTATAGTTGATATGGGGGGTGCCAATCTGTGAAGGGGCTTACTTTTTGTCAAGTAATGTAAGAAATGTATGCACAGGTCCTACACGGAGACTAACCATGGTTGGTTTGCCACCTTCTCTTGCTTGAGTATATTCTGCATCCGCCTTTATGTGTAAAAATCTATAACACTGCATCACGAATTCCCCCTCATATTTGTTGATCATTTCCTGAAGCCACTTTTCCAAATTAAGGTATTCCCTCCTAGCCGCCAATGACGCAACATCCAATACAAATATGGCATTCTGAGCTTCTAAAAGGTCGCTTAGGCATCGCAGATCTTGTGAAATATCGAGAATCCGGGTGATATTTAAGTTGTTGGCAGCATGATATTCAAGGAATCGATTAGTGACAAATGGTTTATCGACTTGCCACAATCTCCAAAAGACTAGCTGGTGACTCGTGTGCCCTTCAAAGAAAATGTCAAGCAACTTTGAAACTATGCGGTCAAGCGTTTGAGGCCAAGGCTTTGGGATCATCAAGGCTCCACAAAGCAGAAGCTCTGGCGTGAATTTTGCAGCTTTCTCCATTTCTGCTTGTGCTGCTTGTTGTATATCCCGGGGAATAGTTTCATTTAGAGCCAAATAAAACAGAACATCAACAGCATCAAAGGAGATGAACTTGTGAGTTTCGAAGGTAGCAACCATGAGTTTGAGGGCACTACTAGCCGTGGCGAAATCCGCAGAGGAGAAGACTTTCCTAATCCCAGGAATCCTCATAACATCCAAAGTGTCCGCCTTGATATAACCTCTTAATACCGACCACTGCGCTCGCGGATGCTGCCACCGTCCGCCCCAGAGCTTATAAATTGGAAATTCGACACTGCTAGTTCCATGCTGCAGAGCGCTCAGTATGACATGCAGCCCCTCTGGGCCTTCCAAGATGAAGTCCTCCCGATCCAGACCTTCAATAACTCTCTCCCAATCAAACGATTGAGCCAGGTTCTCCTGCTGTAAAGCCTGCACAAAAATATCGGCATGCCAGGCAATTGCATTTCGGCTTGTGGCCATGAGGACCAAAACGTCTGTGACTTCGCTCTCAGAAATTTGAACCCTCCATTTCCGCTTTAACACCTCCCGGCACTTTTCTAGCGAGGCTGTACTCTCAGGTCCTATTTGCTGGAATATCTGAACTAGGGATTCTTGCTGACGAAGCTTTTCGATAGGTTCTGTGATGTTGAAAACCTCTTGAGGCAATGCGGTGTTCTTGTACCGCGATCTTGAGGCGTATGAAAGATTGAGTTTTTCAACATTATCAAAGAACTGATAGGCGGGTTCCGAGAGCATTTGCTCCACAAATAGGGCAACCGCTTCAGGTGTCATCTCGGGATGCTTAGAGGGATTTGCAAGGATCTCAAGCATTGACCGAAATGATTTGCTCACGATATCGTGACCTGTAGCACCAAAATTAAGAAAGAATAAAGATAATAAAGAGACAAAGTCCTAACCTTTATTCCGCAAATCAGCTCGGGGACTAGATTTCAAACCAACAGCCAATACACATTTCTGTAAGGAGTCCAGGCCGAAATGGCTGAAAAACATAGATACGTCGAAATCTCTAAAGACCTCTCCATCTGGGGTCACCGGCGTGATCACATCAACGAATTTGTCCTTAACCTCGTGTGGTAAGCTAGCCAACTCCTTAATTCCCTCTGCAAGAATTCGATGACTGCTGCTAGGCGAGTTTTCGAAAGACCGACTACTCGACGATGACATAATGTAAGTGTAATTATTCGTAATGATTTTCCGCATGACTTTCTGATTGATCTCCATGCTTTCGTCTAGGAGCTATCATGTCAATTCTTGGTTAGCAAACGAGTGGCTGCAGGTCAATGGGTACATGACAGCAGGATAAACACTGAGGTCTAAAGCAGAAAAATAGTGTCAGTAATACACACCTTCCGTATCTCCTTAATATTCACGTCGTAATTCTTTTCGTTCGTAGCAGATATCAAAAAATTGACCTGCGCAATAGCTAGATTATTCAAGTGCGATGACCCCGCACTCCCACTTCCCGCACCGCCTCCAGCGGGCTTCGCAACCGAACCCGGAAAAATATTTGATTGTGGCGTCGTGAAGGACGAGATGGGCAGCAGCTGAGATGATAGATGCTGCTGATGGATGGGGTGACTAGAAGTGGATGAGCTAGTAGAATGGTGCCGTGATGTTGGCTCAGCAGATGAAAATAGCGAGAAGGCAGAGGAGGAGGATGGATTAGCAGAGGAATATGATTGATGGAGGTCAGAGTTACTCCGGTGACTGGCGTTCCTGTATTGCTGGGACAAAAGATGGGAAGATCCGCCGGAGGTGTGGTCGGATATTGTCTGCGGTTGTGGTAGTTGTGCTATGTTCTGATGAGGGTAATTGTGGGTATTAGAAGTGGTATTATTACTTGGAGGCGTGGAACTATTCTGCGCTGTCATTCTATTGGCGACAGAGAGGTCCGATGCTCATTATTCGCAAGAGCGGGCAGTAAATGCAGGATGGGGAGTATGCAAAGGGATGAGACGAGGACAATGTGGGTATGGAAGGAGGGGGTTTAGAGGAAGTGGGAGAGTAGAGGGCGGGACGAGTGAGGTAGGCTTCTAGGAAGGGGAGGGGGGGGGGGGGAGGGGGGCGCCTGTAGGTAGGTTCGTACGTCTTTAGAATTCGGAATCGTTTTCTTTCTCTTCCTCTCTTTTCGTTCTACTACTGGATCTTGTCACGATGTGATGTGAAGGTCAACAGGGATTTCCGTATTGGTGGGAAGACAAGACAGATGTGAAGAGATAAAGGTGAGTGTAGACAGAGGCAGGATGTGATCGAAATGACAAAAGAGAATAAATAAGGAAGCGAAGCGATGATACAGTGCTGAGCCTTCTTCACCTTCTCTCCCAGCTAGTTTGCAGCAGGGCTTACTGTGTAGCCTTTCTTTCTCTTCTTTCTTACACTGAAGTTTGATTGGGATTGGAACTGGCATTTGCTCTTTACAATCTTTGCATTGTGGTGGATAGTGAGGTGTGGCTTTTTGTGGCTAGTGAGTTATTCTGGTTTCTACTCATGTAAACAGGATAACGCATACTGTGTGCGTTTTTGAAGCTGAAGGAAGGAAGGGCTGAAGACATCCCCTACTCGTAGTAGCTCGACGTTTCCACGGCAACATCACCAACCTGTGTGGCCCAGGCTGCAATCATAGGCGACAGGCAGTAAACATCTCAACCACGAACCACAACTTAGCTCTTGGGCCTCACTCATCTCCCTTCAGCCCTGTTATCCCTCTTCCCCTCAGTGCGATCGTGTCCATTAAACTAAGAGCTCTGCTACAAACACTTCTTATACCTCGGGCATTTCTTTCTAGTTCTCGTGCTTGGGGTTTTTCTACGATATCGTACTCCTTACTTCCCTTATTACCATTACGACTGTCACGATTTAACGTTTAAACGCCATCAGTACTAACCCACAGACATCCTGCACAAGTCTTGCGCTATGTCTATTGCCCCAACAGAATCAACCACCCTATCTTGTGCGCTTCCCATACCTCCCCCGAGCACATTGCTGCCCATCAAGATCTAACAATTTCTCATAGTTGCGAATAACTTCTGGGGTAAAGATGACGCTGGCGTCGGCCCTCTCTTCCAGCGCATGCATGATGCCAAAACTACCTGCGACGAATTGAAGACTTTCTACACAGGTAACCGTTGACTCCAGCATTTTCGCCTGTATGGAAAATTACCTCTGACAGATTAAAGCCCGTGCTGCCATTGAGGAGGAATTCGCCAAAAAACTATTGGCTCTTGCTAAGAAGCCTTTAGGTTCTAGTGAAACTGGAACCTTGAAGGCATCCATGGATATTTTGAGGTTGGAGGTGGAAGGCATGGGTAAAGCGCACCAAAGTATCGCGAGCCAGATGAAAACGGAACTAGAAGAGCCATTGACGGCATTTTCCAGTACGATGCGAGAAAGGCGGAAAATTGTGCAAGGAGGTTGTGAGAAGATTCTAAAGCTTAAGATGCAGCAAACCCAGCAAGTAAATAAGGTCATTCGTCCCATCGCCTCTCGACAGCAGACAGCAGCACTAATATTATAATAGACAAGAGATCGTTATGAGCAAGATTGTTTGAAGATCAAAGGATACCTTGCCCAAGGGCACATGGTTATGGGCCAAGAAGAGCGGAAGAATAAAGCTAGACTTGAGAAGACCCAAGCTGCACTGGCTGGCTCAAATGCAGAATACGAAGCCGCTATCAAGGCGTTAGAGGAGACTACCACGCGATGGAACAGGGACTGGAAGGCTGCTTGCGATGTGGGTTCAGCATTATCAAGTGTTGGACTTTATTACTAATATTTATATGGACAGAAATTTCAAGATCTTGAAGAGGAGAGGATTGATTTCCTCAAAGTTAGCCTGTGGAGTTTTGCGAATATATCATCAACTGTTTGTGTGCATGATGATGAGGTAAGTGTCGAAATAATCCTTTAGTTTGGACTTGTAACAAGATTACGCTGACCGCAAACAGTCTTGTGAGAAAGTCCGAATGTCCCTGGAAGATTGTGAGGTTGAAAAAGACATCACTTCCTTTATCTTGGATAGGGGAACCGGACAAGATATTCCTGGTAAGATAGGCTTGCTTAACTCAAAGCCGAATACTAACAGAACTAAGATGCCCCCAAGTATATCAACTTCAGCCGTGGCGATGTCTCGGACGATGATAATTCGGAAGCTGGGGGGGAAAATTATAGCGTAGCTCAATTCCCTCGAGTAGGAAATCCAGCATATAGATCCTCTTCCCCCAACCCTTCAATGACGTCCTCTTCTCAGTCTGGATCTACACCACCATCCGAGGTAATGTCCCGTATCCAGAGCAAATCTACCCCCGAGCTACAAGCCCAGTCTCAAAGCGCTAGATCTCGAGATAGACAGCGTCGTGAACATGACCGTCGAGAATCTGAACGGCAAGAGCTAGAAAGGAAAGATCTTGAGCGACGTGAACTTGAACATCGGGAACACAGCCGTCGTAATAGCCGTGATCAACGTCTCCGATCTGCTGAACCGCTCACTCCGCCTGCCAACCGAGAGATACTTCAGAACGCAACACCTACTTCAAGGTCTCGCCGTGATACGCAATATGCTCTGAGTTCATCCACTGCGTCAAGAACTCAGCAATACGAAAGAGAAAATTCACAACGTCAGTCAACACCCCATAATAAGTATCCTCTGGACGGAATGACCATGTATTGTCGCCCAGGTGCCCTTGTTTCTGACGCTGCCAGCTCGAGTGGAAGTCCAGTTGCCCGACCGCCTAGTAGTCATGCTTCAGGAAGCGACTATTCGAACCCGACGTCCGTTTCGAGCCTCGGCGACGTTGTACCTCCTCCTAGCATCGGCGGCGACCGAAGAGGGTCTCCGACAAAACAACAACAAATCACCAAAGATGACCCTACACAAAAACGCAGGAGCGGGTTCTTCAGTAGCGGTGGCCCATTTAGAAGGAAGAGTAAAAGTGAAAAGGAATCGAATCGCCAGATGCAGTTGCAGCAGCAGCAGGTTCAACAGCAACAGGTTCAGCAGCAGCAGGCTCAGCAGCAACAGCAACAGGCTCAGCAACAGCAACAGGCTCAGCAACAGCAGGCTCAGCAGCAGCAGCAGCAGCAGGTAACTCAACAGCGCCGTATTGAGGCTCAAAGACAACAAGAACAGGCTCAGGGCAGGCCCACAGGCTCTTCAAGCGCGAGGAGCAATCGTAATACTTGGGCACCAGGGACAATTACTAAGAACACGATCGCCTCACAGGGTGGTCAAAATAGGGGTGGATATGAAAGTGGCTCTTCTAATAGACGCCAGCAGGAACTTTTGATCGGTAATGATCGTCATGAGAGCCCTGAACCTATTGACCCTAGGGCCAGTTTAGCGTTGAATGTTGGGGGTAATGTTTTTGATGTGTCAACGCCCGCAATTAAAGATAGGAGTTTGCAAAAGCCACAGGAGGAGGAGGAGGAGGTCCCAGACCTCGACCCTATTGCACAAGCGTTGGCAGAGTTGAAAGGTGTGACGAAAGGTTCAACTGGCAGTAGAAACACTGCAGATAGATATTTTGGGTTGGCCACTCCTACCCCAGGCACGATTCCCACGCCAAATTCAAATCCTGGAACGGCTAGCTCTCAGCGCGGAACACCTCTCCCAGGATATGCTCCACCAAAATCAAGCGCTCTTGGTCTTCCACCACCAGCTTTCACTTCTGCTCAGATGATTGAGTCAACTAAAAGATATGTCAATCAAAGAGACCAAATGCTTGATGGGCCCCCGCAAATGCCTGCCGCAGCAGCAGAGAATTCATTGCGAGGGAATTCTGGGCGACAAAGAGCAAATACCATGGATTATGCTGGCAATCGTGCACAATCCCGTCAAAGTTCCCATGATATACCTAGAAATCGACAGGAAAATAACAGATCGGTCAGCCCTGTTCCGACAAACCGAAGCGTTAGCCCACGTCCACAATTATATGGAGACCATAGATATCGCAATACCTCACCTCAGCCTCAACCAATGAACAGTTACTCCCGTGGAAATTCTCCAAACCCTTACACACAATCTCGCCCAGGCACAGCAAACTCCAAGGGCCAGTACACTGCCTATTCACATCGTTCTATGTCACCAATGCCATCTGGACAGGAGGTTGCTCTTAATGGTTTTAGAAATCACTCACCTGCTCCAAGTCATCACAGCAGAAATGACAGTTACGGATCAAGAGGGAGGCATCCGGAGAGTGTTAGAGGTGGTTATGAAGGGAATACCTCAAGGCAAAGCTACTATGAAGGTAGCCAAGGTGGAAGTCAGATAGGGGCTGTTTCGGCATATCAAGGACAGGTCGCTCGGCCTAGGAGTAAGAGCGTTGTCGATACTAGCAGAAAGTATACCAGAGAAGGAAGGCTTGTCTTACATTATGGTGAGTTATTTGGATTCTCTGGGTCAAGATCTTGTTACTAATTCCTTACTACAGCGAGAGCAATATACCCCTACCAAGCTACTATTGATGTGGAATTATCTTTTGCGAAGGGCGATATATTGGCCATTTTGAACGAACAGGAAGACGGGTGGTGGGAGTCGGAGATTGTTGGTGTTCAGGGTAGAACTGGTTTGGTGCCAAGCAATTATCTCCAAAATTGCTAGGTGGTTTAGCGTGAGAACCCGAACACACCATTTTGGGATACAGGAGAATGAAGGTATTCTCGTTGAATACAATTCCATATCTTTTGATGTGAGGTTAGGTTTTCCTTGTTCGGTGTGCAGTGGGCGGCGGATGGGTTTATCGAATACAAGCGCAACCAGTTTATACATACATGTACTCACAAAGATACATGTATCTACCTGTAGTAGGGCACTACGTTTCGGTCCTTTTTCTTTCTTCCTTTTGAACATGATTGTTAGCGTGTTTTCTATTCTTTACTTCTTATATATTCTTTATATTCCTTAGTCTTACGCGGTTTACATTCACTCGGCGTGTACTCTTTTTCTTCTATCTCCGTTGCCTCTGTTCAATCAAACCACATGTACTCGACGCGGAATGTCTTCCTCGCTTGATGATTAGCGGGTCAATGATCAAACCCCCCTATCTTTTTAGCATGCGTATTCTCTATCTTTCTCATCAACGAAGCCTAGAGGAAACAAATAAGTAAATATCGATTTCTGATGATCATGACCTAGGTAATATAAAGCCCTCTTTTTGCTATAACAAGAGGCGGGCCATTTGATTTAATCTTCACTCGAGATTGGAGTTTGTATTTTTTTATGTACTAGCTCGAACCAAAGTCAAAATATTTTTGTTGAAATTACCCTAAAATTCATATAAATCCTTAGGGTTAGGCATCTCATAACTATACCGGGCAATATATTTTAAGACAAGCGCTAAATACCAGTGATACTACTACCCATAGTAACCCTTACACTAAAGGTGGTCTATCAGATAGCGACACACCGTATGTGGGAAAATAGTGAGATGTGAATAATTGGATACATGAGAAAGAAAAATCTAGTCAATATACATACATGCAGGTATTCTTGTAGGTTTAATTTAATAATATCTACATGTTTATTAATTTAGATGGAAAATAAAATCACGTCATGGTACATACAAGTAGACACTGGCTACCACATAGATTACAGCTGCTGTGCATGACAAGAATGGAGTTTAAATTGTTCAAGGTACCTGAGTTAATCAGCAGCTGAGTGGGAAAATAGCCCCCACCGACATGCTCTCTCCGTACCTGAACCCCGCAATATGAAGCGGGTAAGACATGCATCTGAGCCCATCGAGACAGCTAACCCCGCATGCAAGCTGGGTGCCTTTCGATGAACGGTACTAAAGGATTATTTTCTCCAACGGGCAGCTCTTTTTCCTTTGGGGTACCTACTCGACACGATCAGGCTTTAGCGCCCGTTCTAGGTCCCGGAAGATTATAGAATGGCTGAAGCTATAGGACTTGCATCGGGCATCGTTGGCCTAGCTACAGCTGCTGTGCAGGTTACCGAAATAAGCTACAGATATTATACAGGAGTGAAGGGAGCGCCAACGGAGATTAAGGAGCTTTTAGATGAGCTGAACTCGCTTAGCCAGGTGCTTAACGCTCTGAAAGATGTGGCCAAAAAGAACCCGCACTCGACGGCGCTGCAGAAGCTCAGTGAAAGCATCAATGGTGTCGATGGGCCGCTCCCACAATGTCTCGATATGTTAAATGATCTCAAGACTAAGTTGGAGCGTTCGAAGTCTGAACAGGGACGATGGAGAAGATTCTTGCATCGTCTCAAATGGCCACTTGTACAAGGGGATACTCAGCAATATATAAGTCGAATTCAAAGACAGAGGAGTCTTTTCACTACAGCTTTGAATATTGATCATCTGTGAGTTAGGGTGATAAAGGTCGGGAGAGCAAACTTATACTAATGATAATACCGTTAATCTAAGGTCGTTATCGACTGAAATCAGAGAATCTGTAGGCAAAACGGAGATAGCTATCCGAGATCTTCAAACCCAGGCGGAGGAAGAGAAAAAAGACCGCTTGGGTAAGAGCCTGTATCTTAGTATATTTACTATTAGAATCTCCCTAGTACTAACACCAGTACTTACGCATCAGCGGAAAAACAGACCAAAAAACATCAGAAGACTCTCCACTGGTTGCACCCTTATGATACGGTCACAAAACAAATTCACATTACTAGCAGGCGGCATCCGAACACTGGGGGATGGATCTTTGAAACGCCTGGGTTTAAAGCATTTGAGAAGGCGTCTAGTCTAGGATCTGGATCCCAACTACTCTGGGGCTATGGCATTCGTATGTTTGACCGACTCGGGCGTGTTTTGGAGACGGCTATTGACTTGAACCACAATCGTTACAGCTGGAGCTGGTAAATCATTTTTAAGGTATGTAATAACAGTTCTTCTTGAGTTTCTTACTACTAAAACAATCGCCATAGCTCCTTCATAATCGACTATTTCCTGGGTAAAGCAGCGGCACAGGATTATGGAGTAGCCTACGTATATTTTGACTTTAAAGAGAAAGATACGCAAACACCGCTGCACACCCTGGCTAGCTTGGTCAAACAACTTGCATCTCAAACCAAGACTCTCCCAGCAGAGCTCGACAAGCTCTATGATAGATGCATGGATAACGCGGTTGGGGGCAGGCCAACGTTCGAGGAACTCTACAATATCCTAAACATTCTCTTTAAATCATTTAACCAGGCTTTCCTGATCTTTGACGCGTTGGACGAGTGTGACCAAAGGGAGCAGCGGGCAGAACTTCTTAAATTGTTTCATCGCATGAGAGACGATGGAGCCAACGTGTTTGTGACGAGCCGCCAGCACCCAGGTGATATCCAAGAATCCTTTCGTGAAGCTCAGAAGATTGAACTGTCAGCACACGGTGAAGATATTGCCACATATATTCGCCAGACCATCAACAACGATCTGCAAGCAAAGCGTCTTATCAAACAGGCAAAATGCGAGAAACGGATTGTGTCCGAGCTTACTGAGAGTGCACATGGGATGTAAGTAGTTTTGTGTGGATGTTTGGAATTCTACTAGGCATTCTCATGCTTCGTCTTAGGTTCTTGATGGTCCATTTCCATGTTGAGTACTTGTGCCAGCAAACGACTGGGAGGCAAATACTGTCCGCGCTTGAGAAGCTAAAAACATCTTCGGCCGACGGAAGACCTTTGGATAACACATACAGAAGAGCTATGGAGACAATTCGCGGGCAGACTCTTGTACGAGCAAAGCTCGGGATGGACGTGCTCTCATGGCTAGTCAACTCGAGGCGCCCACTTACGCTAGAAGAACTTCGAGTAGCAATATCAGTAGAACCAGGACGGTATGAGCTCGACGATCTAAACTTGCTGGTAGAAATGGCAATGATTCTCGATGTCTGTGCCGGCCTGGCCATGTTTGACAAAAACGGAAACACTATCCGTCTAGTCCACTACACCGTGGAGGAGTACATCTTGGAGAACTCAGTGCTCCAGGGTGCAGAGTTCACCCTTGCCATGGCCTGCACTACTTTTCTGTCTTTTGATATTCTTGCAAAAGGGCCCTGCGCGGACAAAGTCTCATTTATGGCCCGGGTCAAGTCGCACCCTTTTCTCCTCTATGCAGTGCGATACCTACGCCATCATCTTGTGCAATGTGACGAGACCTTGTCGGTCGATATGGTCCTCAAGCTGTGTGAAAGCCCCGGCAACGTTTCTTCCTATTACCAGGTGGAGGGCTGCTATGACGAGATTGAAAACTTCTACCTCAATTTTTATCTCAACTGTCAGAACTATACAAAGGATGTTCCACCTCTTCATTTGGCATCCTCACTAGGGCACTACCAAGCAGTGCAAACTCTTCTCAACAAAGGAGCGGATGTAGCATTGCGAGATAGCAGAGGCTACACAGCACTGCATGCAGCAGCTCGCGATGGCCCAGCTTCAGTAGTACAACTACTCATTGATAGCGGGGCCGACATATTAGCCCAAGAAGAAGAGGGATGGACTGCACTACACATTGCTTCCTTGTGGGGCAATTATGATGTAGTGAAACTGCTTCTTGATAACGGGGCCAAAATCTCGACCCAAACCAACGAAGGCCACACAGCGCTCCACCAAGCTGCTAGGGTCCAAAGCTATGAAGTGGTGGAGCTACTCATTGAAAAGGGTGTTGATATATCTGCCCAGGATGATACTGGATTCACTGCATTACACCTAGCAGCCAACGAAGGCTACGACGAGATAGTAAGACTGCTCATTGAAAAAGGAGCGGATGTCTCTATCCAAGCCAGAGAGGGAGAGACACCTCTAAACCTAGCCTCCAGGTATGGCCATGAGGCAATTGCAAAGCAGCTAATTCAACAAGGCGCCGATATAACAGTCAAGGACAAGGACAGCCGCACGCCGCTGCACAGGGCCGCCCTCCACGGCCACACTGCCATCGCACAACTCCTCCTCGACAGCGGCGCCGACATCACAACCCGAAACAAGAACGAATGGACGGCGCTCCACCTCGCCGCAGACGACGGCCACACGGCCGCCGTCCGCCTCCTCATCGACCGCGGCGCTGACATCTCCGCCCGCGCCGAGTTCGGCCACACAGCGCTCGAGCTCGCCACCACCAACGGCCACACCGAGGTGCAGCGCGTGATCGTCCAGAAGTTTGCAGAAGAATCACTCACGACCGACGGTGGCAGCAGCGGGCTGATCGAGGCCGCAATTCACGGCTGCGACGCGGTCGTAAAAATGCTCATCGCCAGCGGCGCCGACACTACTGCGCGCGACTGGGACGGCTCCACTGCGCTGCACGGCGCGGCAAGAAACGGCCATATCGACATCCTGCAACACCTCCTCCAGTGCGAGGCTGACATCTCCGCTGTCGACACGGACAACCAGACGGCGCTGCACTCCGCCATCTTCGCCGGCCAGCGCGCCGCTGCAGAGCTCCTCATCGACAGCGGCATCGACATAGCTGTCCAGAGCATCCTTGCCGAGGCCATGGCGCTCCACCTCGCGGTCGAGGACAGCTGCGACACTCTCGTCGCCCTCCTCCTCGATAAGGGCGCGGCCATCGACGCGCAGAACACCTTCCAAGAAACCGCCCTCCACCTCGCCTGCGAAGGCGGGCGCGACCCAGTGGCCGCAATCCTGATCGACCGCGGCGCAGACATGGCGCTCCGCGACAACCAGGGCCGCAGTGCGCTGCACCGCGCTGCGCAGAATGGCTGCGAGGCTGTCGTGAAGGCGCTGCTGGATAAGGGTGCTGATGTCGGGGCGAAGGATAAAGGCGGCGAGACGCCGCTGCATTTGGTGGGCCATGTGGCGGTGGCGAGGTTGCTGGTGGATAGAGGGGCGGATGGGAAGGTGAGGGATGGGAAGGGGAGGACGCCGGCGGAGGCGGCGGTGGAGAGGGGCTGGCGAGGGTGGCGGCGGTGATTGATCCGACGCTTGTGGTGCCGGTTGTGGGTCGGGGTGGTGGTGGTGGTGGCGGGAGGGGGAAGGGGAAGGGGAAGGGGAAGAAGAGAGGCGGGAAATAGATGGGCGAGTGAGAGTTTGTGATTCGGGCTTGGTTAAGTGTATTTGCAACGGGTGTACTTGGAGTTTATTTTAGATGTTCTTTCGGTATGAACTGCATAGACTAAAGAAATATACACACACACATACCTGAAATAGAACCAAACCAAGCTAGTACTCAGCCCACGAATGGCATCACAGACAATCACTCGGCAACACCGCACCACACCCGCATGTTTTTGTTTAATTCATTGATTGCATGCAACCTTACAGTTATGGCAATTCCACACCCGCATGGACATACACACAACTTACATGTATTAGCTAGCGGATACACTGGAGCGGATCAAAACAACAAGAACAAACCCGCCCATCGTAAAATAGAGCCCTATCTAGCTAGATCACTAGCGAGAGTTTACATAATACCAACACCGCAGTAACTAGATCAACAACTGTTGACAATAGATACATTTATTGCAATTGATAGAACGCCGTGACCAAAGCTGTCGATGACAAGGAGAAGCGAGAGGCGAAGGGTAGGCCCAACTACATGCAACCCACAGGACCGATCCCCACGAGGTCCCCTTCCAACCCAACACCCCAACCAAGCACCACAATATCTACATCTTAAAGCTCGCGCCCACCATCTCAACCCCAACCCCGCCACCCTCTCCGCCAGCCCCATCTTCAACCCCCTCGACGCATCACTACACAGCTCATACACCGTCGCCAGATTAAACACCCCGCCTGCCGCGACCTTCCCCTCATCCACCAGCCCCTCCAGCACCGCCCGCGCCTCCTCCAAGCGGCCCGTATACAGCAGACACACGGCCTCATTACACTTCCTACACTCCTCGCCCACCCCCACCGCCTCCTTCCCCTCCAGACTGCGCCACGACTCAACAGCCTCCCCCCACCGCCCATCCGCCATCACAAGCAGCGCATCCAACACCCCCCTCGCCCCCGCCCCCGCCCCCTCCCCCTCCCCCTCGGACCCCAACTCACCAAGACACCCCCGCGCAGCGTCAACATTGCCAACCCGCACCCACAGCAGCGCCCGAGCAACCACAACCCCCTCGCCCCCGCCCCGTAACCCAGCGAGATGTCGCGCCGCACCGCCAACATCACCCATCTCCACCAGCGCGCTGCCAACCCGGACACCCAGCTCCACCAGCCTTTCCCTCCACACACCCCTCCTTTCCTCCTCCCCCGCCGCGAGCGCGGCGCTCCGCGCTTCCCGCCCAAGCTCGTAGTACATTGCCACCGCGCGCCGCCAGTCGCCGTAGGCCACGGCCTGCAGGCGCACGGCGAGGACGCGGAGCTCCCAGGGAAGAAGACACGTGCCCGTGGTGGGGTCCTTGTAGAATGATGAGTTGAGGTCGGAGAGGGCGCGGACCTCCTGTGCGGCGGTGGGCGTGAGGGAGAGGAGGGTTAGGGTGGCGAGGCGGATGTACCAGAGGTTGTAGATCTCGGCGGGGGTGAGGGGGATTGTGTGGTCGGCGAGGGTGGTGGCGGCGGAGATGGCTGCGGAGCGGAGGTGGCCGGATGTGAGGAGGGTGCTGAGGGGGTGGAGGGGGGCGGGGGCGGGAGGGTGTGGTAGGGGGTTGGGAGGAGGGTCGAGGGGAGGGGGTGGAAGAGGGGGGGGTGGCGGAGGAAGGTGTGGTCTTTGGCGGGGGTGGCGGGGATGGGGATTGGGGAGGGGGACGGGGAGATGGGGGTGGGGGAGGGGGAGAGTGGTCTGGCTGTGGGGGTGGAGGTCGGGGAGGTGGGGGAGAGCAGGTCGGAGAGCTTCGGGGGCGGGCTGCAGTAGAGCGGTGTTAGAACAGGTCACAGATCAGGTAGTAGTAGTAGGTGAGGGGCGGGCTACTTCTCCTCAAAGTCCAACGGCCCCTTTGTTCTCCTCCGCGGCACCGCAACTGCTCGGTACAGCTCCGTTAGCTCACAGCTAATTCCTACTATGAGCTTATAGCTCCCACCACAGCTCGAACTCACCTCTGCGCTCGTCGATTGAAGACGTATTCCGCACGTGACCCTTCTTTCCCGCCGTATCTAGCGGCGGCGGTGGTGTGGCGCTCATAGGTGAGATTTCTATCCTTCTTCTGTTTCGGTTGTGGGTAGAGTTGGTTGTGGATATTGGGTGTGTCGAGCCTCGCTAGTGATCATTGACGTGTGGGGGTTTCGACAGGGAAGAGCAGTGTGGAGGGAAGGGAAGGGAAGGGAGGGCAGGGCAGGGTAACTGGGCCGGGAGGGTTTAAAGCAACAGGGAGCATTTCAAGTTCATTTCCCCTTCTTTTACTACAGAACGACAAACAGCCACAGCCACAAATAACAACAATGGACACCAAACCGCACTCCCACGCCCGCACCCACGCCCCCTCCCACGCCCGCTCCCATCACCGAGACCGCTCCCGCGACAGAGGACACACCCGCTCTCGCTCCAAGTCCCCTTCCTCCCATCACCACCACCACCACCACCACCGCCGCTCCCACCGCCACCCCCGTTCCCGCTCCCGTTCCCGCTCACCCACCACGCACCACGCCCACCGCCGCCACCACCGCAAGCACACACGCACGCCCTCCCCCGCCGCACCCGCAGCACAAGCGCTGCTCCCGTTCAACGCGCCTCCGCTGACAAAGCACGATCTGGGCACGGCGCACGTGCGCGCAATCTTCAGCGACTACCTGGACATCCAGAAGGGGCTCTACCTGGACACGCTGTCGACGCGCGAGCTCAAGGGACGGTATAAACGCTTTGTGAGCCACTAGTATGTGTTCCGCTCCTTCTCCGAGGGGGGAGTAGTAGTAGTAGTAGTGTTGTAGTGTACCGCAGCGACTAATTGGCAGTAATCGTGGAGAGCTCGCGCGGGGGTGGTATGAGCGCGTCGTGAAGGAGTCTTCTTCTAGCACCACCACCAATCCCCCCTCCTCCTCCACAAACCCCACCAGCACCAGCACCGGCACAGCCACCGGGGACGCAAAGCGTAAACCCCAACCCGAACCTACAGAGGAAGACGACACCAGCGAAGACGAGATCGTCGGCCCCTTCCTACCCGGCCAGGAGCCGCACAAGCGCCGTAAACTCGGTGCTACACGGCCAACGTTTGAGGACTTGGAGTTGCAGAAAGGTAACCCCCCCCCCCCCTTTGCCCCACTGCCCCCCAGTACTAGCTAACACGCCTCAGAACAAACCACCTCCGCCACCGCACTCGCCCGCGCCGACATCCGCTTCGAGCGCAAAGCCGAGCGGCGCGCCCAATCCGCGCTGCTTGACGAACTCGCGCCCCGCGCCGACGCAGGCACGCACGCGCGGCGGCTCGAGAAGAAGGCCGACATCACGGCCAAGCTGGCGGCGTACAAGGAGCAGTCGCCGGGGCTGGAGGCGGTGGACGACGCGACGCTGATGGGCGGCGGCGGCGAGGACGGCGGCGGGACCGAGGGCTTCAAGCAGAAGAAGGCGGCGCTGGAGCGCAAGAAGAATGATCGCGAGCTGCGCAAGGAGCAGCTGCTGCAGGCGCGGATTGCGGAGAGGGAGGAGAGGATGGCAATGCATCGGGTCAAGGAGGAGAGGACGATGGCGATGTTGAGGACGTTGGCGGGGAGGTTTCAGTAGCTGTAGGGGGGGTGTGTGTGGGGGGGGGGTTGTGCTTTTTTTTATGATGTGCTTTTTGATTGTTTGCTGTTTTTGTGTTTGTGGTGGCTGCTAGGCTGCTGGGTTGTAGGTTGCTGCGTAATGGTATATCTATCTATATGTACCGCTCATTCTAGCTGCTTCTTTGGAACACCCTCCATTTTTATCCATAACCCCACCGACCGTCCCCCCCCCCCCCCATTCCACCCATCTCACTCACCCCCATCTATCCACCTCCACCTCCTCCCATTCTGAGAGAACCAGAACTCGCACGAGAAAACAACCAGCGGAATGGTGTGCGCGTACACCCGTGTCTAGATAGTTCCCAGAGTCCCCCACCATGGCAACGGGACTCTCGCGACTGAATTTATCACAATCAGAGTAAACTTCTATACAAGATTGAGTAGGATAGCTAGAGAGTGTGTGTGCAGATTAAGGATATGCCAAAATTCTTTGTGAAGAAACACTACTTTTACCCCCCGTTGCTATTTGTGGGGGGGGGCTCCGGGAATTACTTAGACACGGGTGTACATGTAGCTACATCATACGCCCGTCCATCGTCATGGGCTGTCACTCGGCGGTAATGACTGTTGTGTAGGTTTTTTCTTTTTTTTTTTTTTTCGCTCCCTTGTCTGGTCTGGTTTATATTTAGCCGGTAGCTATAGGCTTGTGGGTGTGCATGGGTGGGTGGTGGCGGAATATATTATTATACTGCACCCTGCACCCCCCCCCCCCGGGGCTCCATGGGTTGGACTATATATATATATTAGTTATTAGTTATGTAGTAGTAGCAACCGGGTTTTGTTGGGCTGGGTTGGGTTGTGGTGCCGGTAGAAATGGGGTTCGAAGTAATTTCTTTTGGTGGCTGTAATATTTGGGGGGTTTTTTTTTTTGCGAGGGAGAAAAAAAAAGCTCAATAGTGGCTAAGTGCTTCTAGAGTGAGTGTCCGTCCAGTTGGGGACCTTAAGCCTTAAGCTTAAATTGCTGTTATTCTTGATCCCTCGTTTTTTTCTTATCGCTGGAAATATTGTACACCTTTAATTGGGAAACTAAGAAGTTAAGAAAAGGAAGAAAGGTGGAAAAATTGACACAATATGTCGCTCACTTCCTGTATATGATTAGCCACGCCGAGCATCACGAGGGAAAATACACCGTTCTCAACAGCAAGAAAGAAAAAGAAAAGAAAAAAGCCAACATAAAACAGAAAAACTCAAACGCCAGATATCACTCCCCCCCCTCCCCCTCCCCCCACTTTCCCTCCCTCCCTTCCAACCTCTCACTACCTCCCCGCCGCCGCCGTCGCCGCCTGTCTCTCCGCCCTCTCCCTCTCCGTCCTCTCCACCACATCCCTCCACCTCCTCGCAAACTCCCACACCGCCTCCTCGCCCTCCAGCCCCACCTCCACCACATCCCTCGGCAACTTACTCGCGCTGTACTGCTGCGACGCAAACTGGTACGCCTCCGGATCATCCCTCCCCACCAGCCGCATCTCCACCTCCCTCTCCTGCCCCTCATCCCCATTCCGCAGCCGCAGCAGCTCAACCCACGAAAACAGGATTGCGTCCGTGCGCGGCGCAAACGGGTTGATGTCGATGAGCCAGACTCGCAGAGGTGTGGCGTGCGGCAGGTACACGTCGAAGACGAAGTCGGGGTCGGGGAACGTCGGGGCGAGGTGCTCGGTGAAGAAGGCGGTGATGGCGGCGATGAAGGAGGGGCGGAGGGCCGGGAGGAAGTCGTAGTGGTTGAGGTCCCGCTGGGTGATGGCGAGGATGCGGCGCGAGGAGACGAAGACGCGGAATTCGAGGGAGGGGTTGATGGCGAACCATTTGCGCAGGATGAGGTGGTAGGGGATGGTTTCTTGGGTTAGTTTTGCGGGGCGTGGGAGTCTGTTGTTGTGGCGGTGGTGGTGGTGGTGGTGGTAGTAGTGGTAGTGGTGATGCTTTGGTCGGCGCTGGCGGCGGTAATGGAGTCCTCGTCGGCATCGTCGGAGTACGGGTCGTCGGTGCAGTCGCGGAAGGCGTGCTCCAGGTCGTGCGTCACAAAATCGGAGCTCTTGAGCAGCAGGTACACCTCCCCGGGCGTACGACACTCAAGCGTGTTCGTCGCCGTCATGAACGCCGCATCCTTCGGCGCGCTCCAGTTCAGCTTCGGCGCCACGCTCCCGCCCAGCTCGCGCATCGTCGTCTTGATCTTCTGGTGCAGCTCGGGGAACCTCTCCGTTGGGTTCAGTACTCTCTGTGGTGGCGTCTCCCCATCCCCTTCGTCGTCTTCGGTCTCGTCATCGGACTCGGTGTCCGAGTCGGACAGCGTGGTGATCTGATCTTCGCCGTCTGGCAGCACAATTCCGTCTTCGCGGAGGTAGGACATGAATTCGGGGGTCAGTGGGATTGTGCGGGCTTTGGGGGTGATGGGGCGGTAGATGGGGTGCCAGGTGGCGAAAGCGCAGTTCATGATGTGGGATTTGCGCACGGGGGGGAAGATGTCGAGGAGGGACTTGGGCGCCTCGAGGGTGTCTGTGGTTGTGGAGTGGACCATTGTGTCTTATGGGAGATTGATGGATTGATAAGTTTGTGGATTGGTGGGTTGAGGGTGTATGTAGAGTGGAGTAGGTTGTGGAATTGGTGGGAGAAATGAGCTGTGTATAGAATTGTATTTTTATGCCTGTGTGCCTTTCTTTGGTGGGGTGTTTGGCGGGGTGAAGAGGCCGGGTAAGCGGAATGACTCAGGGAGTCACGGAATATCACTCGCTATATCAGTGCCGCGCAGATCTAAAGGCCCAAGGTGAATAGAACGGACAAGTGTAGTTCAACTATAGTATTACTTCCTATTTTTCTTGGTGTATACGGTGTGCAGCTAGAAGTACATGTATTTCTATCTACACGACAAAGCTTAAAACTCACTTCATGTCTTGAAGCAAACTGGCCCCTTGAGCTTAATGGTATTCCAATGTTTGTTTTCATTTTATTCTTGTCTTTTATACGGTGGGTCCAGATTAAAAATTATTTCAATACACTAAAGAAAGCAATATAAATTGATAATTAAAGCTTTAGTCTGTAGCTGTCACCTAAGACATTGTACATGTTGACGGCGACAACTAATTGAGCGATTAACCTAGTATTAATTATGATGTGTACAAACATACTCCAACGCAAGTGTAGTGTGTATTAGAAATACGTTTCACGCGCCCTCATTCTAACCCTGCAGATCCGAATAGACGCCATAAGCGAATCATCCATTTCCACAATCACGTGGACATGATGTACATCTCCAAGCACTAATCCCACAGTACTATTGCCCCCGAAAGCCCGGTGTTGGTAATACTGGTGTTGGCCCTAGTTTGGTGGTGGCCATCTTCCAGTCACACTCCTAGTAACTCTCAGAGCCTGTCATGCGTCAAGCGATGATACTTTCTCACCAACAAGTGCGCCTAGTGTTATGTCCATACCAGAGTCATACCCAGAACTTCAATTGACCCAGATAAAAAATGTCGCTTGGCCAATATCCAGTTTTGCAGGTTCATAGCGAAAATGTTTCATCGTTAGTGAAATGCTTGGTTATCTTTGAACACGAGGGTGAGTTGTAGTGCAGCATGTTTTGAAACTCAAGTTGCAGTGCTGGGATTTAATTCTGTGGATAATATTAAGTAATTCGCAGTTTGTCTTTTTGTTGGTGTTTTTGATTGTTGGCCTGAGCCGAAGAGAGAAAATTGTTTTGCTCCTGTTGGAATTAGAAGTTTTAGGGAGATGGGAGAAATGGGAGAAATGAGAACAGTTGAAGGTCTCGACTACTACTACACCACGCATGAGGGGAGAAGAAGGGGTTGGATGACAGAAAGAAGAGGATGAGTTTCACCGTTTGGCTTGGGGATTAGCCATTGGTTAATCCTAAAATCTCAAATAAGAGCCCAGATCCAATTCAAAGGTCTAGAGTAGATAGGGGGTCTGTTTAAGCTTCATGTAGTGTGATAGAGGGCGGTAAGACCCAAATAATATTATCGCAGGGCCGTTGATAATAATAAACGCTAGTTTCTGCAAATGCTCTCGGGGTTGTATCGTTAAAACGCTCTCCAAAAAATTCTAGTGTCTAGTATCCATTATTCTAGGGTGGAGACGTTAGACAACAAACCCGTAAAAGGCTATCCGCCATCCTGCTAGAGTCACTATTACTCTTCTGTGGAGACAACCAGCCGTTTTTCGATATATATATGTCCATTTCGGGCCTTGTTAAACTACCTTGAAATAAGGGCCAATATGGTGCATGACTTTTGCCACCGAGATCGTCGAGTGATAGCGTATGATTTCATTGTAATGGCCCATAAATCCACTTGTACGGTGATCGGCTGGCATCAAGTCCTGGGGGGTGAAATCTTAGTGGGAATTTCAATCTCTAAAACCCGCGCGTAGCTGCAATAGACGCTGGAATGAAGATGCAGCGCTTGTTCTGCGGATAGTAGGGATTCATGGCCTCTGGCGGCGGTAACGATAGGTCGAATATGATATGTCCATTTCATCGATGTCATAATGTCCAAAGACCCAGGGAAGGATATCCATGGATGACCATTGAGTTTAACTTGCGGGTGAGGTTGACGACGGGACTTGACGTTGAAAAGAAGCACCTCCCCTAACCCTCAGATCCGAGCCTCATCCCTTGGCGCACCCGTAGATCTTCCTCTCTGATTGATCCTCTGTAAGCTCAGGGCCCCGGGCCAATAACTTCACTAAAACCTTTTTCCATTCTCAGTACGCTCACGTTATACGAGGTTATAACATTTTTACATAAAAGGCTGAGTTCTGTTTCTTCCACCCGGAAATTTCTGCTTGGGGTACCTATATGTAAGACCTGCTACTTCAACGACACCACGACCTAACATCTACCTTGAGACCAATTGAAGGAATTTTTCCAAAGGACCATGAGCACCACTACTCGCTCTAAAAAGAAAGCTTCTAAAGCTGGAGTGCGGGCAACTATACCCCCTCCCGTACCTGCTCCCCTTCGATCATATCTTGCAGCTCAAAAAACTGTGCCAGGGGGTTCTTCGCCAGCTGTAGGGCTGCCGATGTCAAGGTAAATTTCTTACTTTTTGAAATTTCTTCCCTCTTCGAAAAATCCATATTCCATTTGATTCTTCGATTTTCTACACCTCGAGAGGTCCACACGGTGCTCCCATAATGGCAGTCACAGTTTTCATCGACTCTAGCAATGTACCTCTCACATTTGAATTTGTCTTCTTCTATGCAATAATCCTCATTAAGACATATTACTAACCGCATTGTTGATAGAACCGGCCAAAATACCCCACCAAAGCTCCCTACCCCTCCAAAGCCAAGAAACAAAGCACCGTTTATACTGGCAGGGATAGCAGCCTACACACTGACTGCCTACGGAACCTACGTTTATTTTTCGCTCAAGAACGTTCCTGAGTACGTTCCACAGGAGCACGATCAAACTGATAAGTCACATGTCTTTGAGGGCATTGCTAAGGATTATGATCGCGAAATATGGACGAGCGAGTTTTTCATGGGCATGCCATTGCTGAGGAGGGCTTTGGGCAAGAGGGCTCAGGTGAATATTCTTTGCTTTCCTTTACGATATGCCTAAGCATTGTCATTTCATTATTGATTATGAGGTATATATATTGGGGGCTCTTGCTAACATGATCTCCCTCCACGATTGGGATTTCAAGGGCGATGTTCTGGAGGTCTCGGCGGGGACCGGAAGGAATATTGATTATTATCCGGTAAAAAAATGCAGTTCGGTCACTATGGTGGATACCAGTGCGAGTATGCTTAATGAGGCAAGGAAAAAATTCCACAGTAAGTTCGTTTTCTATCTATAAAATTTTCCGGTAACATATCACTGACGCATATACCGTATAGAGAAGTATCCCAAGTATAAGAAAGCTTCATTTATCGTCCAGGATGCTGCTGAGCCCATCCCTCCGCCCCCGACAGGAAAGGGCTATGACACAGTCATTCAATCAATGGGCTTGTGTTCCCATCATTCCCCGGTGGACCTATTAAGAAATCTTGGGAAGATATGCAAAGACGACGGTAGAATTATATTGTTGGAGCATGGAAGATCACACTACGACTTGCTCAACAATGTCCTTGACTCTTTGGCCCCCAAACATGCCGAAACATGGGGGTGCTGGTGGAATAGAGACGTTGAAGGTATATTAAAGGAAAGTGGCCTAGTGATTGATAAGGTTTCAAGGTATCACTTTGGGACAACGTACTGGATTGAGGCAAGGCCAGCTAAACCGTCGCCCCCGTAAGCTCATAACTGAAGGCAACAATTGTTGACTCATAGGTTTTGGTAACGTCTCCCGAGTATGTATAATAACTTAAGGTAAGTTTTACACCAAGTGGAAATGACAGTTTGGTCAGGTGATCGGTTGACGGATGTTAATGCGATTCGCTAACATGTTTAGAAATAAAACGCATTCTCAAAATCATTGACACGTGAAGAGGGCAGAAAATAGACTTTCTTCCTTACAAGGAAGCTGACAATGGGTCATTATGATATATTTCTGCCTATCAGGCAAAAGCACCAACATGACGGTGTTGTTCTGACGTCGGACTTTACCTGGAACAAGCCCCCAGAGGATCTGTGGTGGCGATCTATACTTTGCCTCGGTAGGGAAGTGATGGTCGTGGCTATCCTCTCCCCCCGCGATTTTAGGGGCGCTTTCATACTTTACACAAATACACGCGCCGATACGATACAGCTTGAATCCGATTTATTTGGAGATACGAAAATAACTTTTTGGACCTTCTATTCCATGCTCCCCCAGGTGTGTTTGATAAACATAACCGATGAGGCAGGCTTATCGCATACCAAAACAAGGGGCACCACAGCATGGAAGAATCAACAAACGAATAACTCTGACCCAACGGCAGGTTTGTTCTAGGGTTGAACCTTCGGCACGGGGCAGTTTGCGACGCATGCAGCACTTTAACGACACAACAACCGCCTGGAATGCGCGATATCGGGCCATCCCATATCGAGGTAAGGCTGTGGGGTGACAAGCTAGGCAAGAGGGTAACTTATTTTCCGATATGAGCGGAGAAGTATAGTTTCGGCCTTTCCGCATTTAGAAGGGTGTAAGTTCTTTGAACCATGCATGACTCCTCACCGACAGGGGCCACGTCACCTCTGATTGGCTACTTGTTTCACGGTTGCCTTCTCGCAACTGGCGGCCAGAAAAGGCAAACGGCGGTCAGTCTCAAGGTTGCCGGGGGCGGCGGTCGCCTGGCGGAGCTTCTCCAGAGCTTTGAGGTTTTGGGTATGTGGTGGGTTCTGGCGTGGGTTCTACGACTGGGGGTGGTTGCTGGGATGACTGAACTGGGTTGTGCCTGTGGAAAATTCGGTTTACCGTTGGTCAAGAAAAAAAACACGGTCAGAGGGGGAAAAGGGCCAAGCGGCGTGACACCACGAAACAGAACGACGGGAAAAAGAAAGTGGGAAGGAAAAAAAAAAGGAAAAAAACCTCAGACAACCACCCCTCACTGGTAACCAAATCGATAATCCTAGCGATATCACTTGCTGCACGCACCCTGTTTTCCTCTGCGCCTCAAATCTCCAACCTTAGTAACGGCTCCAAAAAAATCCAAGATGATGTACTCCACCATCCGTCATCCTCAAATCCTCCTGATCGAGGAATTTACAGCAGCTCGTTCATTTCTCTCCCCCTCCGTTCCTTCCTACACTTCTCCACTTCTACGATACACACAATCAAATTCTCTACTGTCGGTTGGTTATCTCTGCAAAGACTCGGATTATTGCTCGTATTGTCAGGCGGATTAAAAATTCAACAAGCACCTGCACAACATCTTCTTTCAACGATACTAGTATTTTCATATCGCACCAATTTGTCAACTGCCGGTTTCTCGCCGCTGTTGTCGCCAGTATTTCCTAGCGACGCCATTTTTTTTTCTTTGGGTCTCTTTTCCCTTTCCCGCGCCTAACAGGTGTTGCTGTTTACCTACAACATATTATTATTCTTTGTACCACCACCACACCGCATTTTTATCCGACTTACCTAGTCGGTGTCGACAAGCGTAATTGGCTGCTTTCCCCGATAGATTGTCTTCGTCAAAAAAAAAATAGCAAATCGCCATCTTTTCGATTGATTTCTTTACACTCATATTTCTTACAAGTGACCGGTGATTCTTCGACTGTAAAAGGCTACATTCGACACTCGGGCTCTACCACATTAATTTCATCCCTCTCCCACCAAAAGTACAATGGGTTACAATACTCGCAGAAAGTCGTTATCTCTACCCTCTCTTGGAATACAACTCCCCCAAACTACAGCAGCCCGACGACTCTCCGCCTCTCCAGCGAAAAGCGATTCACCTCTCCAGAAAAAAGTCAAAAGAGAATATTCTCCTCCAGCCGCTCTATCTCGTCAAGACCGCTATGGCAGTAACCTTCCCCCTTCGCCGCCACCAGAAAATAGAATCAGTCGTGAGGGTATCAATGATGATATTGTTTCTGGAGTTGTAGATGTCCTTGAGCGGACAGGAAATCGGCCTCATACAGTTAAAGAATTGGCTGCCGAACTTGCGGGTGTTGTTAACATTGTTGAGAAGTAAGTTCTGCTGAGTGTTCTGAGTTTTGGTGTTCATGCATTGCTGACGTTCCCCACAGTTCGGCTAATCCCCACGCGATCATTTCCTCGCGATTAAATTCGTTTCTCAAACGCGACAAAACACCCTCAACGCCTTGTATCATCGCTAAACAACTAATCACTACCCACCCGAGGCGCATCTACTTCTACCTTACTACTTGCCCACATCAACCAATCCCAAAACATGAAAACGACAATATTCCCACAAGACGCAGTGTTGTCTCGCCCGCACTATCCGACGATGAAGACAACAGAAGAACTGAGATGTCGCCTAGTCCGGAAATTGACTTGGGTCTACATGATGAATCCGATAACGAGTCTTCTGAGGAAGCAAGCGGCAGTCTGAGCACTTCTAGGGCTAGTATCATCGAGCGCGAGAGAACCACCTCCCCCGCTTCATTAGATAACAAAAGTGCTCTTTCTACGCCAGTGCTCGAAGGCGATGAACGGGAGTTCAGCCAGTCAGCCATATTCATTGTGCGCCGCTCCGCCTCTAGGGAAATTGACCAGAACAAGGAGTCTGACAAAAAGAGATCACGGGGAGAATATGAAGCAGACGTGAACGAAGACCGCCACATTGAATCTTCTACCAACGATGCAGCAGCGATGCTTTTGGGCTATGGAACTTCCGCACCAGCTGTTCCTGTTCCCACTAGCCCTATGGTGGTGCCTACACAAATTACAACAATAACTCCTAATATAAAGGTGGAGGGTGCCACTGGAGTAGATGCTGCCCAAAACCACAACCGGGATCAAGAGAAACCTAATAGCGCCACCGATTCCGTCCTCGGTCTCGGGTTAGGCAACTGGGGAGGCGAGCTCGAGAGACATCTCGGTAGCCCAGAAAGCGTCGAACTTGACGAACTGGATGATCTCCTAGACTTTTGAAATCAATCTCTTATCCAAATTCAATCTATTTTTCCTATTTTAAATCTTTGGGTGGTTCTATTATGCTATTATGCGTTGCGACTTGAATTTTGTATATTTTGATGTCTGTCTTGTCTTTTTCCCCTTGATCATGCATAGATCATGCTCTTCTCTCACTCCATTTGTTCCACATGTATGAGTTTGGATCAGGCCAGTTATGATTGGCGGGTAATGATTCTTCGAGCGAACGACATAGCCTAGCTAGGGTCTCGCGCAGTGTATTATTTACATCTACTTCTTTTTGTCCCCCTTGCCCTACTCTTAGTCGAGTAGTTGGGAATGATTGCTGGTGCCCCTTACTGTTCTGTTGTCATTTTTCTAGATTGGGATCGCGATTGTACTACCAGAAAGAGGAGAAAAAGAAAACCGGCACGGGTAGAGCCCCGTATCGTGGTGTTCAAGAATGCTTTTTTATTATTATCATTAGTATTCATTACTTTAGTTTATGGAGCTAGGAATGAAGGGGATAAAAAATTACCAAGAATTTGTCAGATCGCTCTGATGCTGCTACGTTGTTACTTATGTCTTACACTATTGCACTTGAACTTTTTTACTTCCTTTTTCATGGGATAACTCTGCTGTACTCAATTTTAGTATTCTTTGCAGGTGGGGTGGTTTTTTTTTCTTTTGTCTGTATGGGAACGTTCTTTTTTTTTTTTTTTTCTTTTTTTCTTGTGGAAGGAGGGGAACCCAATTTGATGGGGTCGGCATATTATGTACGGCGTCTCAGATCTGTACTAGGCAGGGTAGAACTGCATGCACAGACTTCATTGACATGTACACGCGAACGCAAAGTAAACTATGTGAGGGGCAGATAGATAGATAAATAGATGATGGGGTGCATCACCAGAAATCACCCCTCACAATCAACTTCGCTGGCATTTTTTTTTTTATTTTTATTTTCTCCCATTTTTTTTTTTTATTTTCTCCGTCAAGCGTCACAACCTTCTACTTCTTGTTTTTATATTTGGGGACTAAACTGAGAACTCCCTGATCCCGGGGCATTTTTCTCCGCACAGCACGGGTGGGTTTGCTTTCTTTGCTTTTCCGTCCTTGGAATTAAATAAGGGGCGCTGTAATCATTTCCATGTTTGCTTTACTCGGTGATATCATTTTGGGGGAATTCGAATGGGAGTGACATGTCTCGGATCTGGGCCGAGGGGAACTGTTTCACAGAAACGGCAACAACAGCGCTCCCGCAAACGGCATTTCACTGGTTGAGCCCTTGAATTTGGACCCTGGTTTCTTAACCGGTGGTCAACCGGCCCCTCTGTAATTGGCCAACAGGCGTCATGAACTTGTTCAATTGAAGAGGTTAGGTTAACCAACCCCTTGGTGGTGTTAAGCACAGCACCTCCTGTTTATTTTCTAGTGCTTGTCTGCTTGGTCGGAAGGGTGCGCGTTCTCCCGTAGTATATAGCGGTACATGTAGTTTAGGAAAATAATTTGCAGGTTAGCATGTGTGGAGTAACTTTAGTTTGCATTTTTATGTGCGTACAGCACACGCCCGATAGATGCCTGCTCGTTCATCGTGCTTCTAGATGTTCCAGGGGAGGACCCATCAACCATCGCTAATTAAATAAAGCGCCCCTTGGAGTGGTCCAGACACCCCTATCAGTCCAAATTAAAACATCTCTTATCAGATCCCATCTATTATGCAGCCAAGGAGGACCTTCACAATATATCACTCGATATGATGTACGCTGCATGTTGTTGTACACCGTGTTAATTCCGCCACATCGCGGAAATAACAACGACGAGGTCCTTTTAAGACCTCGGGTAAGCAACCCTTGACACCAGTTGAAGCGATGTGCCGTCCCGTTGCTGTGTCCCTGTAGTCGAACCTCCCAGCCCATTACTTACCTTAGTTACCTGGGCTACGTTATAAGTGCTGTTTGTACTACCCACGAGTATGCACCAAGAACTGTTGTTGTCTTTGAGGATCGACCCTGTGTTGACCGACGGCGATAACAGATGTTTCGGGCACTGTACTTTGTGGGAGGCACGGACATATCTTAGGTGTGTTAGTGGAAGAGTGTGATGTAGTCTTGATCTTCTACCCGGCTAAGTGCATCTTTTTTTTGAAACATAGGACAAAGAGAGGGAGCAGTCATCGATTTGACCGTGCGGGCGATCAGATAACCGTGTCAGTTATATTATAAACGGTGACAGCCATATTGAAAAGGTATTGGGTGATAACATGCCCGTAACCGGGAGAATACTGTGAAAGGCTATATTGGGCCGATGGCACGATACTGAAAGACCTCGGCATTGATTTTCGAGAAAGAAATAGGACGGTTTGTTAGTGATGATGGTATGTAGTGGTGGTGGAGGATAAAGCGGTGAAGCTAGAGGGAGCATGTGGAAGTTGTGGTAGACTAGACGCAACCACCCGCCGTGACTGTTGATGTCATCTCTCGTTTCTCTGGTAGAACCAAACCATGTATTATCACTCGTGCAATTTTTGCTCATCACTAACCTCATATCTCCCTTTGCATTCGATATCCCTCGGCGACGCTCAGGTGAATGAGTAATCCCTTTCAGATATTTGAGAGATAAAGATCGACAAACCACATTTCGGCTTAGATATTGGTCATGTGGGTGTCACATAAAGCATAAAAATGGCACAACCAGAGACATTGCCACCTAGGTCTTCCCTTTTGATTTACTATACTATTGCAATAGCGATGCGGGCGATGCCTTACGCGAAATGCTAATAGTAAAGCTGGAAGTCAGGGGCCCTTTATTAAATCATAGACTATCACTCATTACAGGCTACATAACACAAAATAGCTCAGCATTATTGTTATATAGCATGATATCGCTAGCTGGAGTCTCACTAGAGAGGTGGTGTTTGTTTGTGAGATAAGGGGAGAACGTGTCCTGTAGGTACAAACGGCTATATATACATATGTTTGGTTTTGGCTCGCTTCTTTCGCTATATAGTTGTTTCTTTCGGCCCTGCACAATTAGTTGGTCTTATTTTAGAGAGGCTATAATACTATATCAGTCATGCAGCTGAAACCAGTCAGCAGTTCGGTGTATTCATGACCGAGTATATAGTACCGAGTGACAGATGGTGAATATAGTAGATTTTCGGGAACGACTTTATCCCGAGATGGTATGGTATGATACGAGGTAGAGATACCCTCATCATAATCGTTGAGAATGATAGCCTATCTTCGTTTGAGAGGGTGGGTTTGAGAGGGTGGGTTTGAGAGGAGAATTTGGCCTGAACGACTTGGGGGTTGTTTACAAAGCCCAGGGTTAGGTTTTGTAGGAGCCCCATGACGCATTTAAGTGTGATAAGGGGATCCTGGGAGAAAGAGTTTCGAGCACTTGTTACCTAGCTATTTTGCTGCTTCTCGGTCTTTTAAATACCCATCTCTACCTAGGTACGTGGAGGAGATAGGTACACAGATCTATTTTCTTCAAGTACTCTCACACGCCGTGTTACAATATCTCTATCCTCATTGGCCAATCTTGAATGGTAATGGTGTCAGATGTGGGGATCTCGGAGAAGGGAGTGGGGATGATTCAAGGTTAAGTGTGGCTATCCCCGGCTCTCACATGTGCCCTGACGTGCGCGATGAGGAAGAAAAAAAAACAACCCAACCCAACAAAAACCCGTGAACCAAAACACCGAGCGAGGGATTGTGACTCAGTCTTTACCGAGGGACAGGACATACAAAACCAATTGATACCCGCCCCCCCCTGTGAATTGTGTATTCTAGTGTTGTTTCGTTCAATTCACACTATTCCACAAAATGGCTGCATCACGAAGAGTTTCTTCACTACTCATTCGACGAGTCGCTACTTCACCAGCGCACTCATTACTGTCGATACCCCGCCAAATCCCCCGACTACGCTCCTCGCTCCCTACTGCTGCCGCTTCACGACTTCCAGCGCTACGCTCATTCCACGTCTCCTCATTACGCTTTAACGATGCGCTCCACTTCGAGCGTGAGTCTGACGAAGTTGATGTCTGCATTGTCGGTGGTGGCCCTGCCGGCCTCTCAGCTGCAATTCGTTTGAAACAACAAGCCAATGCCGCTGGCAACGAAGATTTCCGTGTTCTTCTGCTTGAAAAAGCTGGTGACATGGGAGCGCACATTCTCTCTGGCGCCGTGATTGAACCCAGCGCCCTCAATGAGCTCCTCCCGGACTGGAATAGCCCGGACAACGAGAACAGATTCAAGAACGTCACGGCGGTTACGTCGGATCGCATGCGCTTTCTTACCAAGAACAAGGCTATACCCATGCCTGGGCCTCCGCAGATGAACAACCACGGCAACTACATCGTTTCTCTCAATGAATTGACAAAGTGGCTGGCTGAACGTGCTGAGGAAATTGGTGTGGAAGTGTACCCTGGGTTTGCGGCGAGCGAGGTCCTGTACGCCCCCGATGGGAGTGTGAAGGGTGTGGCGACCAACGACCTCGGTATCGGGCGTGATGGGAAGCCGAAGCCGAGCTTTGAGCGGGGTATGGAGTTCCATGCAAGGTGTACATTGTTTGCAGAGGGGTGCCACGGGAGCTTAACAAAGAAGGTTATTAAGAAGTTTGACCTGAGGAAGAACTCTCAACCGCAGACATACGGTATTGGATTGAAGGAGGTGTGGGAGGTTAAGCCCGAGAACTTTGTTAAGGGCCAAGTCAGCCATACCTTGGGGTGGCCACTTCCGACAAACACATATGGTGGCAGCTGGATGTACCATTTTGGGGAGAACAAGGTGTCGCTTGGCCTCGTCGTCGGTCTTGTATGTTTCCTTGAAACTGACGACAACCCCAGCAATATGCTAATGTGACACAGGATTACCCTAACCCATACCTATCACCATATGGCGAATTCCAACGTATGAAGCACCACCCATTCTTCGCTTCTGTCCTTGAAGGTGGCCGCTGTATCTCATATGGTGCCCGGGCTCTCAACGAGGGTGGGTTTCAATCCATTCCCCAGGTTACCTTTCCCGGTGGAGCTCTCATCGGTGACACCGCCGGGTTCCTTAACGTCCCTAAGATCAAGGGAACCCACACTGCCATGAAGTCCGGAATGTTGGCTGCAGAGGCCTGCTTTGATGCATTGGAAACCAACAAGACTGGCGGAACAGTCATGCTATACAACTACGAAGACGCATTGCGCAAGAGCAGTATCTGGAAGGAGCTCAAGCAGGTTCGCAATATGCGACCCAGTTTCCACTCCCCTCTGAAAATCTTCGGCGGGATTTTGTACTCTGGTCTTGAAGCCTATGTCCTGAAGGGTCGCGTTCCATGGACTCTCAAGCACCCGGGCCCCGACTACGCCGCCACCAAGACCGCAGACAAGTCAACTCCCATCACATACCCCAAGCCTGATGGAGTGTTATCGTTTGATATCCTCACTTCTGTCTCGCGGACTGGCACGAACCATGAAGAGGATCAGCCAGTGCATCTGCAGGTTGCGGACTGGGACAAGCATGCGGAAAAGGAATGGCCGCTATTCAAGGGCGTAGAGAACAGGTTTTGCCCGGCTGGGGTGTATGAATATGTAGAAGATGCGACGAAGAAGGATGGCGTGAGATTCCAGATCAACGCGCAGAACTGTATCCACTGCAAAACGTGTGATATTAAAGCACCAAGCCAGGATATCAACTGGACGACGCCCCAGGGAGGAGAAGGACCGAAGTATTATATGACTTGAGCTCAGAGAGCGCGAGTAAATTCTTAGATGAGAAGAGGAGTGGGATGTAGGACACGAAATGCGCTGAGTTTGGGCTTATGGGTGTTTTCAGATAAAATACTCATTGAGACTTAGGTTTAGCTGTCTTCTCGAGGTTGTATAGGCATGCATGTTGTATGGGCGCTTAGTATAGATTTATTTTTTATTTCCTTTGTGTTTCTTTTGTTGGTTTTATTTTATAGTGTGTGGTTTGCGAGAACATAGGTGTTGAGAGCGGCGGGCTATGAGGCTAAGCTATTGAGGACGATTAAATTCATAATATCTCAAGCTTAAGCTTCTACAAGACATGGGGGAAGAAGGGGTGCTGTTGCGGATATACATTTCCAACTGTATACAGCTGAATCGGGTTATATCTGGTGTATTTTTGAGTTGTGCTTTTTAACCTCACTCTTTGACGTGACCCATCGTGTTTGAAATCAGCCTGTCAAGCGTTGCCAAGAATCGGGCACAAACTTCATAACTTGCTGAACTAGAGGGCTTGGTGATAGTCACAGTTTTAGCGGCGCGGGTCAAGTACTTTGGCCGATTACTTTGGTATAGTGAGCCACTGATAGTCACAGACCCTGAAAACAGAAGAAAAGATCATTGGCCCATGACAGGGACCGTCCATTATTACTACTACTTTACCACTAAGTCAACCCTACTGAAATCGGCACTAACTACATGTAATCAATTAACTGCTGGGTACCAGCCCAACTAATAGAAAAATAATAAAATAAAATAAAATGAAGTGAAAAGAATGAAATAATTGAAATGGGCAAAATAAAATCCCTTCAAGAGTCGTCCCTACTGCAGTATACTTTAGGCCTTGATAGCCTTCGACTTTCTCGCAATTCTCGCCTTCGCCTTCGCATCATGCTCCATCAGCTCCCACTGGCCCGCATGTGGATTACTCTCCACCAAAGCCTTCGCCACAGCCCTCACCTTATTTCTCCACCCTTTCCCGCACGCCAACCGCCAATACTCCACCCCGCCCCTAAAACCTACTTGTACCGGCGGCCTCTCATCATAAAACTTGCCATCCAGCTTTCCCACTAGCCTGCGCTTCTGCAGGAACTTAACAACCTCTGCATCCTCCCTATACAGGGCTAGCTCTAGCGCAGTATCCCCACTATATCTCCTAATTGTCACCGATGCTTTACGATCCAGTAATATAGCCAACATGTCGAGATTTCGCCGCAGCACAGCATCGTGGAGTGCTGTGGTCCCCAACTCGCCGTAGCGGCTATTGATATGAGCGCCATGGTTAATAAGTAGCTCAAATACCCGTGGATTCCAGTGCGTGTTTGCTAGCCGTGAGCTCGATGCTAGTAACGGAGGGAACGACCGCCCGTCAAGTCCGTTTACGTCTGCGCCCCTCTCAATCAGGAAACGCGCGGCATCCTCATGGCCGCCGAGAACGGCAAAGTGTAATGGCCTGCATCCATCTGCGCTATCCTCGCGCTTGTTGAGCTCGTCGGCGAAGTCAGGGTGGTCGAGGAAGTATGTGAGGATGCCGACGTTACCGCCGAAGGCGGCAAGATGCAGGAGCGGGGTTGTAGCTTCATGACGGCGGCAAGGTGGGCAATAGTCTACAATGAGAAGCTTGAAGAGGCCGAGGTGGCCACGGAGGACAGACCAGTGGAGGGTGCAGGAGATTGTTGCCCCAGCGTGGGTAAAGGTGCGGTCTGGGGGGATGAACCTTTTGAGAGATGGGGTGAAGAGGGCGCAGAAGCGGCGAGAGGTGCGGGCTAGGGCGCAGACGGAGGCGCCGGGGAGGTAAGTGGGGATTTGGAGTAGGAGTTCGATGGGTAGGGCGAGGAGGGACATGGACCTTTTTGTAGGGTTCGTGGGGGGGATGCGTTTCCTTGCTTTTCTGCCGGTCTAACTATGTAGGTACTTCACAGCTGAAGTAAAGGTCTGAGAATGCGTTGTTTTGGGATGGATAGGCGGAATGTGTCGTGGGGAATCGGGTAGCCAATGATTTGGAATAACCAATCATGACGTGGCTGGGCATTGAACATGGGTTGTCGAATTGATGGTATTTTGTTTTTAGAGTTGTGTTAACTTTTGTAAGGTCAGTCTTAAATACTTGCGTTTAGTGTGGTCCGGATCCATAAGCCGGCTCGAGTCAAACCGGTATATAAGCTCGAGTTGGCTCGGCTCGTGGGAGGCAGAGGCTCGCAAGACTCGAGCTTTGCTGACAGGCCCGTAAACTGGCTCGAGCCGGTGGTCAATGATACAAAAACAGGTTATCCTTACACCAAGTGTAGTAAAATGGCGGATATAAGCTTCATTTCATGGAGTAATACCGTGACAAAGGATTAATTATTTAAGTGAACATTCTAGTGGGTAGAAATCCCCCTTTGCTAATTCCTTTATGGCTTCTAGAGCCTAGTTCAGAGCGAGTAAACTGAGCTCGAGCCGGGTCGGCTCATGGACCACGCTGCTTCATGTGTTTATACTACATGTAGCTTCTCGCGGCCAGTGAGACGGCATAGTTGGAATTGAAGTCAGTGTTAATTGGGCAGTACAGTTCGTTAGGACCTCCTGATATCAACGCAACACAAAAGCTTCAATCCGAATACATCAAGACTTAAACCACAAACCAGGATTACTGAAATTATAACAGACCTTGTCGGGTTCGTTAGGTTTCGAATTGTATGTGAGGCCGAGATTTGATAACATCTGGTTACATATAACGATTTCACGAGGTCTTAATCAGTGTCTAAATAACATGCGTCTTTCAAAGACCATATGACGAGGAGGGGAATGTGATGTTTATCATTGACAGTTCTCGGCTGGTGAGTGGCTACATGTACGCAGTTGAATACCACAATAGGGACTATCCCGGAAGTCGTAAGGCTTTGGTGTAGAGGTCAATGATCCGGAAGTCACTTTTTGAGTAGACTCGACAGATTTGGACAATCCCACGGTTTAATTAGTGGTAGTCTGGTATTGCAGTACCGAATTTTTGATGCTAGAGTGCTAGAGTGATAGACTTTTGCACTTGCATGCATGCAGTATATGATCATACTCTATGCCACTAATGAACTTAATCCTTTGGATTATTCAATCAAAGCACAAACTTCTGGCTAGCTTTAATTTAGACATATGCATAAAATTCTCATGGTTTTATAATAATTATAGCTTGCTAGCTTACCCCTACACCGTAACGGCCCTCTAAATGTTTCTTAACTCTCCTCCCAATGAAATTTTTAAGTTTTCTTTTCCTCCTGCGATCAAGCCTATTGCCATGTGCGCTAAAAAAGAGCTTATTGAAAGCGTCCTGCATCTCTTCATCGTCAGTTTCGTCGCTCGAACTTTTATCGACGACGGGGTAATCCGAATCCCACTGCCAATCGTTCGAGTCCAGTTTGTCTTTTTTTTTTATTCTATCCCCCAATTTATCGATCTCCCAAGGGTCGTTGCCGTTATCATTACCACTACTCTCTCCACTCTCGCTTGAGCTGTCAACACTATCACTGCCAGGACTACCACTTTCCCCCTCGGTCCCGCTTCCACTCTCGTCCTCGTCCTCATTTTCGCTTTCACTATTGTTTCTACTGGCTATCACCCTTCTCCTCTTTCTCTTTCCCTTTCTCCTCCGCTCGTCTACTTCAGTAGTGTCAATCCCACACTCCTTGTTATTATCCTCGTCGTTATCTGCTCTAGTGATAATGTCTTTTATGTAATTCCCGATATGGTTTGCTACCGTGCGATAATCCACATCTGCCACAGAGCTGAATTTGACCATTTCCGTATGGTTCCGTGGAATTCCTACCTGAAGCTCATTCCTCAAATGCAACAGAGCCGACATCTTCTTTACCATCTTTATAAATTCCCCAAATCTATTCCACTCGCCCGTAGTAAGCTAGAGAGAAAACGTCAGCTCTGAGTATACAAGGGAATATTTCCAGTATATTTATCTCTTTTTGGACGGTTGGCGTCTTCCAAAGTTCATAGAAGCTGAACACTTTCAAATTGTCCCAGATATCAGTCAGACTATCTCGCAGAGCTTCCAAAAATTCGGAATCCCCGGTGAGGAGATTGATGAGCTTTATTCTGCTCGATTGAGTTCCATGCTCTGACATGTCTCGAACCATGTCTATCAGTCCATTGACTCCATTGAGGCCCGCGTGCGGGGTCCCAAAGAATAGTATGGCTTTGGTAGAGCCTAGGATGTGCCCGTGGAATCTCGGCCTATTCTTGGCTTGGCTTAATGCCTGATAATATTTAATTTTTATCAGCCACAGACGGGATCCAATTCATAATGCTTAGCAATCGGGCTCACCTGTAATATCACAATTCCACCAAGACTGTGCCCTATGGATATGATAGGCCTTTTACTCTCCTAATTTCGTATGAGACCGTTAGCATCACTCAACTGTTGACAATATTCGTTTGCTAATAACCTTTCCGAGTTTCGAGCATTCTCAAGTTGCTGGATAAAATTTCTCCTATAGTTCGAGAGTGTGTAGACTACCGTATCTTTCCCGATGAGTTTGGTATTATACCCATACGAAAGAATCCTGACATTTTCGCAGGAGGCCTCTCTGGGTAGAAAATCTTTGAGCCACATTGCGTGAGTTTCTCTATGCCTCCAGGACCCGAATGCATGGCCGGCAAGGCCGGTCACTGCGACAACACTTGTTCACACACAAGGATGTTAACTTCTTTGCTAACCATATTACTTCAGGATTATAACTAGAGCAAAAATATGGAACTAACTCGGCCACAATTTCTTCTCCCCCAGTTGGTGTGTACAGTGGCGTCAGATCATAGAAATTCGAGTCAATTTCGAGGTAAACTTTTTTTCCTTTCTGAATCATTGGATACTTGTAGTCTCATCGAGTCTTGGTCTTCAGGCCATTGAAGGATTGCGGGTGTCTCCTCCGGACAGAGTAATGCCGTCTGTGTCGGGCCAGAACATGCAGGAAAGAACGAGAGACCACTCTCATCTAAGCTTTGTAGAGAGTCATTAGCTCCCTGAAGGAGACCGAGTAAAATATCTTTGCTCCATGCTGGTGGCACGTTTTGGATTCTGAAGCACCGCCCGGCTGTCTTGGTGGTTCTAACGATACTCATACCGCTGCTTACTGGCAGCGGTTCCGGTACATCTTCCAGGCGCGCTGATACGTCTTTTGGGAGTCCTAACTCCACGCCGGCAGACTCTAATGGGGCCTTGGCTTCCTCCGAGCTCTTCTGCCCCTTTGCGCTTCTTCGTCCCAAATGTATATCGTTCACCTTGGTGGGAACCCCAGGTCGGATCCAGCGCCCGAGCGTTTTGAGCGCTCTCCCAAAGACTCCTCCTCTTTCTTCGTCTGGAAGCTTTCCGTTCCGGCTTCGGCGCTTCATTTGAGAATTTTCCCTGTCGTAGCGGTTTTTGTTCATCCATGGACGTATATACTAAGGAGCGGCGGTCTGTGAGAGCCGGAATGCGACGGTATTTGATTGAGAAAGGGTAAAGTTCTGCGTCTACGATCGAGGGAAGGCTGTGAATTTATGTAAGTGAGAAGCCAATCATTTCCTCCAGATACTCATAGCGAATTAACATATCCCTGTCTTGTCTTAGAGTATCCAATTGGATACTCTTGTCTCAACTAGTTTTGGATCCAGAGGAGCAGTCAAATCCTCAAATTAGACCTACACTCGGGATCTTTCTCACAACTCAACAAATTTTTTCCCGATTTAAAAGATTTTTGGTTTTTATGATAGTCAGGAAGTATATCTATCACTGCCATATTTTAAAAATGTTTAAGTTGTTGTTATTTGTGCAGCTCATCTTGAGTGTGAGGGAAATTTTGGCGAGGAGCTCTTGGCAACTGGGCAGTTGCCTAACAGCTGCACTCACAGCGCAAAGTGAAATGGAGATCCGGCTCCAACGCAAAGTCTCTAATGTGTCCGTTCTACTTGCTTACCAGCAAGTAAGGGCGGAACAATACTACCAGTATTACGTGCAGTCTCTATAATTTCCCTGGGAACTATTAGAGAATCTCGATCCTATGATCGGGAATGTGTGAAAATTGACATTCGATGGGTGGCTGGGATTTCCGAGGCTACTTTGGTGAAGGCTGTCTTTAATTATAACAAAAACGTCAGTGATCTGCTTTAGCTGGTGTGTGTAGTGCAGCCTTTTCCTGGAGTGCTTAGAGGGCTTAGGGTGCATGGTAGCTCTAGATTCAATTGATCCCTACTCGATAGCAATCATAGTGAATCACTCGGTAAGATTCATGCACCGCCACATAATAGTATGCGCCACAAAAGACCCTGCCTCGGCAAGCTCACCAATAACTTTACCCGTTCCACCGTTACCTGACAAGTGCAACCAACCAACCAACCGTACCTACCAGGAATCCAAGCCAACCGCGCAGCACCTCCCCACCAGACTAGTAGTCGTCACCAACTCACCTCCACCTCCTCCAGCCAGAAAAATAAAAAAATAAAAAACCGCCATTTCCTTCCCCCTCCTCCTCCAGCTAGCTAGATAGCTAGCCAACTTCAAAATGGATTTCGCGCCCTACCAATCCGAGTCCCCCGAAGCTTCCCGCTCCTACAATCGTCCGCTATCACCACCTGTCAGAGCATCGACGTATTCACCGCTGCCAGCTTCGTCGCAGCTGCCGCCGCCGATATTACCACCAGGAGGGGGCTACAGACCGAGTGGATGGGGCTCCGGGGATAGGGAGACAGTTAATCAGTTTGAGACCAGCTTGCCGATACGGTAGATACCCCTTTGTGTGGAAGTGTGCGTTCTGATTGATGGAGTGGAGTGCTGACTTGGGGCGAATAGACTCGACTGGGAGGCTGTCATGGCATACGTTTTGTTACCGCCTGCAGGAGGCGTGTTGTTATTGATCATGGAGCACAAGAGCGACTATGTCAGGTGTGTCATTGTCTCCTTTCTAACAGCCAGCTTAACACCATGATCTGTGCTGAACCAAAGATTTCAATAGATTCCACGCATGGCAGTCATCACTACTCTTCGCGGCCCTTGTGGTAGGTTCCCCTAGTGTCGGTTATAGCATGGATGAGAAGCTTATTGAATAGATTCTGCACGCCTTCCTCATGTTCTCGGCGTTCCTGTCGTATACGCTGCTGCTCGTCGACTTGGGCCTCATTGCGTGGTTGAGTTTGCACGCGTACAGAGACGCGGACACACTGGATAGGTTTCTACACCCCTTTATCCTCTCTCCCTCCCTCGCATCCATTGACTGAATGGCTGGCTAACGAGAGGACTTAATTGCTTGTTTGTTTGTAACAGATGCGAAGTGCCTTTCTTCGGACCGCTCGCGAGCTCGATTCTGGACGATGAGTGAGAGATGACGCATTTCCTTTTCTCTCTCTCTCTCTCTTCTCTCTCTCCTTCGTTCCGTTTTTTTTTATTCTTGTCTTTGCAAATCAATCTCTACCTCTCCTATGTCGTTTCATTTTCACTTTTTTTCTGCAAGGGAAAAAAATAATTCATAATACCATGCGCGCGAATAATCTAATGGTACGTACGGGAAAAAACTAGACCGTGAAGGTGGTCAGTCAGTCAATGGAATGGAAAAGAAATCGAAGCGGACCTCTACCGGAGCAGGGAGGTAGTGAAGGGGGAGGGAGGAAGTGGGGGGGAAGTTTCCAGTAAGTAGAATGCGGGGGAGAGGGAAGCGGGGGCAGAGGCAGAGGCAGAGGCAGAGGGGGGTTCATGGACACTTGTTTCTTGGGTGGGGTATAGTTAGGTCTTCTTGCTGGTTTGGTTCTGGTTTCTCTTTTGTTGTTGCGGCTCTTTTTTCTGTTCTGTCAATCTGTCCGGGGCTGGGGCCGGGGGGGGAATCTAAACGGCGTACCTATGTGATTAATCTCTCTTGCTTTCTTTTTTTGCTGCTTAATCCTGACGGTATATAACATTATACATGGAGCGGGTGAAAAAACTGGGAAGGTAATGTTTGCTCTTTTGGTTTTTGTTTGCGCTTGCTTGCTTGTTTGTTTCTTTTGTCAGGTTCTATATTAGCTATCCATCTCATCTCTGTAATTTGCGCCACACTACCACCCACCACTACAATACTCTCCATAAGTAGAATATACATACATCATACCTACTATAAATTCCCCCCTCACCGCAGCTCCCACACCGCCGTTTTGGGCCGTTATACGCGGGCCATGATCAGATGAGATGTCGATGCAATGCATGGCGATTGATGATGTGATGGGTGCAGCAGCAGGGCAGCAGGGCAGCTACTCTGGCGGGGGAATGGGGGCATGGTGTTAGTTTTAAAACGGAAGGTCAAGTGACTACACGTGATGTGCAGTGTGGGGTGTGGCTGCGCTGCCTGATCATGAGCGCGATAAGAGATAAGGAGCTTTGTGTGGACTCTGCGTGTGTCAATGATTGCGGAGTCTGCTTTTTAGGGTGGTGGTGGGGTCACATGATGCGGTGCTAGCTTGGGGTGGCCGGGGTCGGTGGGAGACGGGTTGAGAGGCGTTCCGGGGATAGGCCGCCTTGGCCGTCCGGGCTCTTTGACTTCCGGGGATTCGGTCTGTTCGGAGGCCGGGTTCTGGGCCGTTGTTGGTACGGTGTTCAGGTGTTTAGCCGTGTGGTTCGGTGTGGATGGCAGCTCACTCAGAAGCACTCGAACCCCCCGACGAGTCATCAGTTTAGAAACGGCTTGGGATTCCAGATATGCCTATCATGAGAACCTCAGTTACTAATAGTGTAAGACCGTCAATTGACCGGGTTCACTCAAGTTTGAGATGCAATTCCTTAGGCCTAGGCCTTAAGGACAGGTTACGAGACTACCGGTAGCGTTAGTCCATAGTTTGTAACACTGTACTCATAACTAGAAGAGAACACTCAGTACTGCAAAGTACAAGTAGAACAGATATACCACACTAGCTGGTCTCTTCCTCTTTTCATTTACACTACATTTCGCGTGACTTTCACAGGCCATATCTACATGTAGCCAGGGATTATCGAGGGTGTTCACATGTAAGACGATTCATGTTCACCGAAACTGGATCCGGAAACAGTGGCATGTTAACAGCTTTCTTTCTTTCTTTCTGGAAGAGAAAGTCAGATAAATACAAGGCTATGAAACTGGAGAATTAGAAAAAGGGCTTCTTTTCTATATATTCTGGCCGAATTGAAGCCGTCTTATCCACTCACTAGCTGAGAGAAATAGAGCTTCTGGGTTTCGAGCTGCCATTGATACCCAGAGCTCCCTCCCGTCCTGTCAATTTAGCCGTTTTTCCCTCTTTTCACATGCTTACTTTAGGACCAAATAAACCCTAACCCACCCAATTCGGCATCACGTGCAAGGCAATCACCCTAGCTTCGACGTCACCCATTCATGCCGCATCACTCACTCACCCGCCCCTCACTAGATATCACCCGGGTCCACCAACGCCAAACATCAAAACCAACAAACACCATACCAACAAAAGTCGACACAGCTATGGTAAAGCCTACTATTCCCAATTGAATTTTCTGATTGAATACTAGCTAACTGGATGAACAGGACACACTGTTGGCTCCGCTGAGAGCGGCGAGCTCTAAGCCGGCGAGGAGGGCGTATATCACGACGTTCTTGCTGACGACGTCGGCGACGTTTTTACTCCTGATTGCTGCCGCGACTTATATAGCGTTTTACATGAACTATATACCGGACCTGAGCCATCGGCATACGCTGCATTTGCAGTATTCGTTTGTGCCCCCCTCTATAGCCTTCTCCCCTTTCATATCTCCACCCCCGCTTAAGCTACCTCCAAAGCTGCACTGCAACCAAAAACTAACAACCCCCCCCCCCCGCCAATAGCCCCAACAAGCACCCCACAGCCCAGCTAAAGCTCCCCCCCGCCGCCACAAAGCCCAACCAACACTACACCATCACCCTCCACCTGCACCTCCCCACCACCCCCTCCAACCTCGCCCTCGGCAACTTCATGACCTCCATCACCCTCCTCAGCCCCACCAACAACGCCATCACAACCTCCCGCCGCCCCGCCACGCTCACGCACCGCACGCCGCTGCTCGAAACACTCGACACGCTGCTGCGCGCGCCGCTGTACCTCACGGGCCTACAATCGCAGTCGGAGCGCCTCGACGTCGCGCTCGTCGACGCCAGCTTCCCGCAGCAGATCGCGGCCGTCAAGGTCGTGCTCGAGGCCGAGGCCGTCGGCGTGTATGGCGCTGAAATCGAGTTCACGGCGCGCCTGCAGGGGCTGCGGTGGTGGATGTGGAATCGGCGCGTGCTGACGTTCCTGGTGGCCACGGCGCTGTTTTGGGGGTTTGAGGTGGGGGCGATGGCGGTGGTGTGGTGGGCTGTGTGGTCGTATTTTGGCGGCGGTGGGAAGGCGGGAGAGGAGGAGAAGGAGGGGAGGGAGAGGGTGGGTGGTGGGGAGGCGGAGGGTGAGGGCGAGGAGCTGTATGCGGATGATGAGGAGACGGGGACGGAGGGGGAGATTAAGGTGAAGGAGGAGGAGGGGAGGGAGATTGCGGTGGATTCAGGGCTCGGGAGTATGAGTGAGAGTGCGAGCTCGTCGAGGGCGAGGGTTGCGGAGGCGGGGCAGAGGAGGAGGAGGAGTCGGGGGAAGGATTAGGGTAGTGAGTGGTAGGCAGTTAGGTAGTTAGGTAGTTAGGTAATTGATAGTTAGCTAGTTATGTCAGGTAAGCAGGTAGGCTAGGTAGTTAGATTTCCATATGTAGAACCTGTAGGAATTGAAGCCTTTCGGAATCGCGAGTCAGTATCAATTAGCTTATCAATGTGGCAGGACTAGTAATCAGAACTCCACAGCACAGTGCACATCACTACAGAACATAAAAAGCGTGCATAAGTTCTATATTCGTCTATGATAATGATAATTCCGGTGCTTCATTGCGGCAAAAAAAAAAAAAAAACATAAGTACCACATTTGCTACATGTCCGCTCTCCCGCCTTGCTTGCTTAATTGCTCAGATATATATGCTATGATATGATGTGATATGCCGTGTCATTTTATTCCCCCCACCTCCCCTCCCTACGTCTCCATAATGCGAAAAAAAAAAAAAAAAAAGAGAAAAAAAAGGCCAACAAAAAAGCAGAGAGGAAAAAAAAACCGCACATATGGATTATAATAATGTCAATGATCAAAAAAAACAAAAAACAAAAACGTCCTCAAACCACACAAAAACATTCATTCTACCCTCCTCATCCTCTACCCACTACTCGCCCCCTCCCCCCCCTCCGGCGCCGGACTCGCCACCGCCGCCGCAGCAGCCTTATTCGCGGCCGCCATCTGCCACGCCGGAATCGCCGGACGACTACCCACCCCGCCAAACGGCAGCGGCGCACCAGTCTTCGCGGCCCCCAACCCACCAAGCGCATTCGCCCCCGTCCCGGACCCCAGCGGCTGCCCCTGCCCACCACCAGCCCCACTACCATTCACCACTCCGCCCACCGCACTCGGATCCAGCGGCGGCGTCCCGCCCACCACTCCTCCTCCGGGCGGCGCAAACTGCGGCCTTCCCGCGCCGGTCCTGTTCATGACGAGCTGCTTGAGGCTCTTGAGCTCGCTGCCGAGGTCCTCGAGCGCCTTCTTCTGGCTCTCCTTCTGGCCCTCGAGGGCCTTTGGGATGAGGTCGCGGAGGCCGCGGACCTCGTCGCCGACGCGCTTGCTCTCGTCCTCGCGGCGCTTTCCGGCGTCTTTGAGCGACTGGATGACGGATTCGACTTCGGCGAGGGCGGCGTCGACGCGCGTTTTGCGCTCCTCTTCGGCGGTCTTGAGGGCGCTGGTGTCGGTGCGGAGGGTGTCGAGGAGGGTGAAGGCTTTGGCGAATTCGGCGTCGATGGCGGCTTTGTCGGTTGCGAGTTGGGGGGGCGTGGGGGGCGCGATTAGGGGGGTGATGTAGCGACGGGCGAGGTGGTAGAGGGTTAGGGAGGCGGTGGTGGTGACGGTGGCGAGGATGAAGTAGTCGCGCCAGTCGCGGGCGCGGGGGGGGAGTCTGTGGGGGGGAGGGTTAGTTGGGTGTGGCTAGGGGTTGGGATTGGGGAGGGGGACGTACTCTTGTGGGGCATAGCGGTAGGGGTTGGCTTGTGGGGCAAAGTAGCCGCCGGGGGGGTAGAGGCCGCCGACGGGCGGTGGGAGTTGTGCGGCGGCGCCGGCGGGGACGAGGGCTGACTGTGCGCGGAGGAGGGAGGCGTCGACTTCTTCCTGCGTCAGATTCTTGGACTGCAGGAAGGCGATGCGTTTCTCGAGGGGTGAGGCTGCGACGGCGGGGTCCGACAGGACTGTAAATTGTTAGTTATTGGGATTGGGGTTGAATTGGGGAGGATTGGGGGGATTGGGTGTTGTGGGGGGTCGGGGGTTGGTGAAAGGGAGCTTGATATTGATCTGCACTTACAGTTGACCTGTGATTGGCTGGCGGGTTAGCGTGTGTGTGGTAGGTAAGCTGGGGGCAAGGGATGGGAGTGAAGAGACGACTTACGGCGGAGGCAATGAGGTCTTCTCGCATGGTGATAGTTTTGGGATGTGTGTACTAGGGGGCTCTAGAAGCTCTGGAAGGTGTCTTTGAGGAGTGTGGACAGAAGGGGGGAGTCCAGGGGGTCAGGCAGGAGTAGCAGAGGAAGGTAGCAGGACGACGGGTTCTCCTTGTATTAATAGAGAGCTTAGCAATGCAGTGAGTGGGTGGGTGGTCCTCGGTCCGGGGGAGGGAAGGGAAGGGAAGGGAAGGAAGGAAGGAAGGAAGAAAAAGAAGATTGATGGTGATAAAGAAAGAACAACAGAGGAAGGAACCCCAGCAAGAGCAAGCAATTAAAACCCCCGTGCTGTCTGTGTCTGTCCCGAGAGAGTGAACGCAGGCAGGCAGACAGCCACCAACACGAGGCCGAGCCGAGGTTGCTGCAAAAACACCTGGTCGACGGTGAGAGGGTCAGGGTGAATATGCACACAAAGCGGTTGTGAGGGTCTGGCTGTGCGGGAGATGAGATGTGCAGGCGATCTAGGGCTTATCCAGGGTGTTTTGTGTATATTCGGTGGTTGTGGTGGTTCTGTCAGGGTGAGTAGTGTGTTTGTGATGTTTGTTTTGGTTGCTGCAATCTCTTATCTGATGGAGATGGAGAGCGAGACACAGAAGAGACAGAGACAGAGACAGACAGAGACAGAGACAGAGACAGACACAGACAGAGACAGACACAGACACAGACAGACAGAGACAGACAGACACACAGCCACAGCCACAGCCACACAGCCACAGACACACAGCCACAGACACACAGCCACAGACACACAGCCACAGACACACAGCCAAACATCATCACCCACAACAGAATTCAGAACATCACGACACCACAGACAGAGAACTACAGCATAGCAAGAGAGTAATATTTACTACAGCAGGCAGACGCTACACACACTACACAGACACTACACTCACCGTACAGACACCACAATGTCTCAAGACCCAAACCTCTTCAGCGCCTTCAAGCGGCCCAGAGAAGTGAGAATCCCCTTCCCTTCTTCCTCTTCCACCACCCCCCCACCCCCCCACCCCCAATGGCCCACCTACTAACTCCCCTCCCTCCGCACCCCCCCCGACAGACCCTCTCCGGAATCCCCACCGCCTCCCAGAGCTCAAACTTCTCCTCAATCCCGCAACCCGCCTCCGCCCTCCGCCGCTCAAACTCCAAATCGCGGCCCCCAGCCTCCAGCAGCCGCATGTCCCTCGCCCCGCCCACAACCTACTCGCGCCCCTCCGACGCAGACCTCATGGCCACAGCCCGCCGCGACCCCCGCTCCGCCCGCCAATCCTACGCCCCCTCCTCCTCGCAACCACCCCCCTCCACCGCCCGCCGCTCCTCTGTCATGCGTCGCTCGTCCGTCGGCGGCGCGGCCCTCGGCGCCCTCAACAGCTTCTTCACCTCCTCCACCAGCGCAATCCCCCAGCGCGACCCCCGCCCGCTCAAGGACCGCAGCTTCCAGGCCAAGATCGGCCAAGAGATCCACGAATACCTCCTCACCAACGGCTTCGAGCTCGAAGCCGGCCACTCCCTCACCCCGACGGCCCTCAAGAGCCCGACACAGAAGGACTTCACAATGATCTTCCAGTGGCTCTACCACCGCCTCGACCCCAACTACCGCTTCCAGAAGCCCATCGAGCAAGAAGCACCCCCCATCCTCAAGGCACTCCGCTACCCCTTCGCGCAGTCAATCACAAAGAGCCAGCTCACCGCCGTCGGCAGCGCAAACAGCTGGCCCAGCTTCCTGGCCATGCTGCACTGGCTGCTCGAGCTCATCGTGACCGTGGAGCGCTACCAGAGCGGCGCATACGACGACGCTGCCGCAGCAGAGGGCATCGACGTCGGCGCGGACCGCATCATCTTCCGCTACCTCGTCCGCTGCTACCGCGCGTGGCTCGCCGGCGACGACGACCACGACGAGTTCCTCGACGAGATGTCGACAGCCTTCGATGAGCGTGCAGAGACCTACACGTCGGAGCTCTCCCGCCTCGACGCCGAGAACGCGGCGCTGCGCGAGCAGCTCGCCGAACTCCATGATGGCGAGGAGCCGCTGAAGAAGGTTGAAGACTCGCGGACGCTGATTGAGACGGATACGAAGAAGTTCCTTGACTACTGCAGCCGCATCGAGGCGCGCATCACAAAGATCACGGCCACGAACGCGAAGCTGCGCGATGAGATTTCGGCATCGGACGCGGAGCTGCGCGCGGCGGAGGAGGAGAAGGGAGCGCTGCAGGCGGCGGTCGATCGGCAGGGGCTCACGCCGGCGGATATAGACCGCATGACGACGGAGCGCGACAAGCTATCCAAGGGTCTTTCGGCCATCTCTGCGCGCGTAGCCGAGACACGTGTGAAGCTCTCCGAGCGCGAGGCCGCAGCAACGAGTGCGCTGGAAGCGCTCGAGCGCGCCGTCGCACGCTACAACACCCTCGCGTACCAGATTGGGCTTGTGCCTGCGTCGGCTCCCAACGCCGGGGGGCGGGAGTTTGAGATTGTTGTTGCGCCGTCTGCGGGCGGGGAGGAGGCGCGGCTGCTGGTTGATGCGGCGGCGGGGTGGCAGGCGGGGGCCGTTGTGGCAGGCGGGAGGGATTTGCGGCATGAGGTGCGGCCGGCGCTGATGGAGCTGCGCAGGGAGATTGCGGGGCGGATACATGAGGCGCAGGACGAGGGGATACGCACGCAGGAGGCGATTGACCGTGTGACGGAGGCGCTGGCGGAGAGGGCGGATGAGGTGGATACGCTGCATGCGAGGGTGCAGAGCGCGGTGGGCGAGTATCAGGAGATTAAGGATAATATTGCGGTGGAGGGGAATGCGAGTAATGCCGAGATTGAGAAGTTGGAGAAGGAGCTGGCGGGGATGAGGGTGGGGATGAGGGAGGGGGTGTTGGCGGTCGAGCAGAGGGTGCAGGGGGTCATGATTGAGTATGTGTTTTCCTTTCTTCTTGTTTTGCTTGGGTTTTGGAATTTGTGGTTTGGGGGATTGGATTGGATTGGGGATTGCATGTGGGGAATGAAATCACTGACAAAGCCATGGCAGACGCGACCAACTCGCCCACGCCGCCCAAGCCCTCCGCGAACGCTTCCACGGCGAGGTCGACCGCATCCTCAACGAGATCATCAAGTTCAAAGTGCACATCCAGGACACGCTGCAGGGCTACGAGCAGCTTGTGGAGGGAGAGCTTAGGGGCAACGATGCCCTCATGGAGGGCTAGATTCGAAGAACAATCAATGGGAGACTCTTTTTTTGTGTGTCTTCTGGTTTTTTTCTTTTTTTATATTTTATTATATAACACCCGCTTTTTCTCTCTGGCTCTTTTTTTTTACTTTTTATGTGGGCTTCTTCTTGTTGTTGTGGGTTGGGGGGGGGCTTTGGTGGTAATTACTACTATACTAGGGATGGGTGTTACGGTTTCTCTTCTTCTGCTTTGGCTTTTGCTCTTTTGTTCTTTTTCTGTGCTGTGCTGTGCTGTGTTTTGTGGTGGCGGCCGTGCTGTAATGTCAGGCAGGATGTGTTAAACTTTCCTTACCACGGCGGGTTCACTTTTTTTTGCGAAAAGGTTAATTGGATATACCCCGTGTACTGTAGGCAGCCAGACAGGCAGGGATGGAGGGGCTCTTAGCGTAACTACCTGTTGGTTGTAGCAGTACATGTAGGCAGATACTGGATGTCCCTCGGCGGTTAGCTGCAGATAGATACATGTAGCTTGAGCACATACCTGTCTGTCTTGTCTTGTCTTGTCGGCATACCTATGCAACCCAGAGCCACATCCCCGGGACCATTGTAATCCCGGCCCTGCCTAGAGGGTGGGGTATGGCCATATATAGACTCCCCCCTCCCTCCCCCACCCCCTCCAGAACACAACCCCCAATGGCACCATCCTCAATCATCATCATCGGCTCCGGCGTCTTCGGACGTAAGCACCCCCCCGCGCACCCCCCAAAAACTCTAAAGATACCCCCCCACTGACGAACCCCACCCCCGCAGTCTCCACCGCCCACGAACTCTCCCACCGCCCCGCCTTCACCACAACCACAATAACCCTCCTCGACGCCCACCCCTTCCCCACGCCGCACGCCTCCTCAATCGACTCATCGCGCATCATCCGCGCCGACTACTCGGACCCGCTGTACGCCGCGCTCGCCGCCGAGGCCCAGCACCACTGGCGCTGCGCTGACATCGGCGTCGGGGGCGTATACACCGAGAGCGGGCTCGTCCTGGTAGGGGATGACTGCGAGTATGTCGCGAAGAGCATGCGCAATGTCGTGGCGCTGTTTGGCGCGGAGAAGATACAGCCGCTGAGTGACGCCGCGGCGATTCGCAGGGCGTGTGGGACGGGGGGAGTGACGGGTGCGAGCGGGTATGTGAACCGGGTGTCGGGGTGGGCGGATGCAGAGGCGGGGATGCGGCGTCTGCGGGAAAGGGTTGAGGAAAGTGGGAGGGTGCGGTTTGTGGTTGGGGAGGTTGTGGGGCTGCTTGGTGGCGGGGACGGGGACGGGGACGGGGACGGGGACGGGGACGGGGACGGGGGCGTGGTGGAGGGGGTGGTGCTGAAGGATGGGACGGAGATGCGCGCGGAGCTGACGGTGTTGGCGGCGGGTGCGTGGTCGCCGGGGTTGGTGGATCTGGGGGGGAGGGCCGTGCCGACGGGGCAGGTCGTCGGGTATGTAGACCTCACCGAGGAGGAGCAGAGGAGGTACGAGGGCATGCCCGTGATCCTCAACTTCACCACGGGCCTGTTTGTGCTGCCCCCGCGCGGGAGGGTGTTGAAGGTTGCGCGCCACGCCCTCGGGTATACGAGTGCCTGCGGGCCCGTGACGGGGCGCGGCATCCCGCAGGAGGGCGAGGAGGCGCTGCGGGCGGCGGTGGCGGAGATGGTGCCGGCGTTGGCGGGGAGGGGGTTGGATAGGACGCGGTTGTGCTGGTATACGGATACGCCGACGGGGGACTTTTTGGTGTGCCATCATCCGCAGAGGAGGGGGCTGTTTGTGTGTACGGGGGGCAGTGGGCATGCGTATAAGTTTTTGCCGGTGCTGGGGAGGGAGGTGGTGGATGTGTTGGAGGGGGTGGAGGGGGCGAGGTTTGGGGAGAGGTGGAGGTGGAGGGAGAGGGTGCGGGAGGTGGTGACGGGGGATGGGAGTAGGGGGGGCGTGGGGCAGGTGGTGCTGGAGGAGGCGTGGGGGGCGGCGAGTGATGGTGTGTGATTGGGGGGGGTGTGGTGGCGTGGGTGGGTTCTTGGGTTCTTGCCTTGTGTATTTAGAGGTGAATTAGACGTGCGTAGTGCGGTGCCCAGATAGCAATTGAAGCAGTGCAAAGAGGGATATCTAGGCGCAGAGGTTGGTTGGATGAATAGAATGGTTTGGCGCACGGAATTCGATACAGCCATGACTGTCACGTGACTGTCTCCAACTGAGCAGCTGCTCAGATCCGATTTTCTGTTTGTTGTGCTGTTACCCGCCTGTCTCTCTTCTTCTCGTCCCTCCCATCTTCCCATCTTCCCTTCTTCTATCTCCCTATCCTTCACTTCCCGTCTTCTCGCCCCCCACTTCTCTCTTTCCGGTCCTCTCGTCCTCCACTTCTCATTCTTTTTTCTCACTTCCCTGTATCCCGACGAAACACAACACACTGTCGCTCTTCTAGCTAGTACCCCCGCGGGAAAGTCTCGACTGAAGATGTTTTGGTAGTGTAGTGGTGGCAGTGTGCAACTGACTTGACAACATGTCACTATGGTCACCAAGAGGATCTTTATGGCACATGCAGAGACATGCCATACCAAATTGATTAATACGATCCTGTTACCCGGTACTTGCAGTTGATATCGAGGCTATATACTAATATATTAAGGCCGCCTTTAAATTATACCAGCAGCAACCAACCACAGAGACCATTATGTCTCTATCGCAGCGATAAAAAGGAGTTAACAATTGCGTATTACTAACTGAGGAGGAAATTGGTGTTTGGGAAACCATGCTGTGTAAAGCCAGTGACACATTAATCGCTTATAAAAGAAATACTTTCAGCGGCACATGGCGCCTTGATTGCGAGGGTTAAACTGCAGAGGCTTTCCTTGGCGGTACTGACGAGATCAAGGCCTAGAGTAGTCTCGTACCCAGCCTGTTACTTGCAGCAAGCTGCCTCAGTAGCATGGAAGTAGACGGGTTGGGGACGAGCCTAGGCCTAGAGGCTATTCTAGGAGTAACAGTGGTTGTTGGCTGGTACTACAACAAGCTGGGCTCTGAGGTTCTAGAGCTCGCGAGAACCACCGTGAACAGCGACAGTGGTATGGAGATCAACAACAGCATACTAACTAAGAATAAGTACCAAGGTTTCGACCTCATTCAACACGGAAAATACAAGGATCGATGAACATGCTGTTCTCCGTAGTCGCTACCGAGATTAATATTTATAACGAAAAAGGGTTCTAGCTCTGGCTTAGATGTCACCCAGATTTCGATAAGGAGATGTAGCGGACACATAATCTTGGATGTATATGCTATGGGAAGCTGGGTCCGGGTCAATGATCACTGGAGCGGTCTAAGAGTCAACGATAAGGAACTTTAGATTCTAGTTCCTGGATTACAACACAGGCAGAGCTACGGCTAAGAAATAGAGCTACAAGATGAAAATCAGTACTACTCTGGGTATCAAGAGTACTCCACAGTCAATAGTGCAAGACTCGCTGGAAGGATACAGCTCAGAGTAAACACAGTTCTGGTCTTATCACTGAACATGTGAGTTATTTGGTGTTCGTTGGGCTTCCCTGAGATCACCGAAACCTGGCAAATATCTAAGTTGGGGGAACTTAAACCCATCCAGCTCAAATTTATAAACAGGAAACTTTTATAACATCGCGGTTGCTTGTGTCCTGGTTTCACAAGACCTACTAGTTGGACCATAAAAAGGGCCTAGTCAGGACTCAGGAATAAGTGCAGTTTATATCGACCAAGTTTATTACCGTATCTGATCTACACATTGCTACGTGAGCGACAGATACTACCGATCACTGTGATAATCCTGGCGAAGTAGTGATTCAACTGCTAAGGTGGGACGGCGGGAAGTTGGCATCGTTATTAGTAAGCAGTACACGAGCTACCGAGTGACAGTTTATGACGAAAGGCCAGACCCCGGACTAAACAAGGCCTGAATCAACCATACATGGAACAGATGCTAGGACACCTCCACAACTATGTATTCAGCTCACCCCTTACACGCGATCATCTACCACAACATACGCCGACTCTAGGTCTCTCTAGGGACCTATCTTTCCACCTGATCTGAGCTATCTTTGTTGAAATATACATCCCAACATCCTCACTCGCCACAGTCTATTTCTATTGCCAAAGTTACTATGATCTTTCAGCTAAAGCTTACGTATGGACACGACTCTTGGTGAGCCTGTTTCCAGCGGTTGGCCTTATAAATGCGCCCGAAAACCTCGCAGTGGCAAGTCGAGGGTTTAAAGTTCTGTTCCAACTCTGTGGATCTGGTCAAGAGGTGGGGCGAGGACTAACCGCAGCTCTATCTTGGTATGAGGGAATATCGGGCTGCGAGCTTGGAAACCCGTGGTCTCTCTATGTTGAGGATGTTTCTGTTGCCGCCAACCACCATGTTTTAACAACTTTGGAGAAGTTCCTTGCAGTTGGATAGTTTATTCACATTTAGATCAACGTGCTCAAGCAATATGGCCTCATGACCCGTGAGGGCGGGATAAAACAACTTAGTTGGTCTGTTCAAGTGACGTACGTCGCTGGATATGGATATAAATAGCCATTATGCCTTCGAGACAAAGTTAACAATTTTACTCTCTTCATCGGTTGGTGTCTGTTCTTGGGATCACCGAGGCTCGGATGCAAGGGATGTATGTCAACCACAGACTCATACCTAATTCCCACGGACCTTTGGAGTCTTGGGGGTTTGTAGTAACCCTGGTAGGCTTAAAATGTATCACGCTAACAGTAAAACAAGTTATGAAAACTACATTTACCGAGCAATTTGCCTTTAACATTTCTGTGGGAGCCCAGGGGACACCTTGCCAAGCCTAAATGCTATCATGGGGGATCACTCGCTCGTTTACCTTGAACTGCAATCCCCAACAGAAGAGAATGACAATCAAAGTAAGTAGGTTCCAAAACTATCGTTCCCAACTGAAGTGAGACATTGCTGATCAATATTTCACATCTCTTCTCCCAAGCCTCCCGATTGATAACAACCGAACGCTCCAAGCTCAACACCGGCAACCCAAAGCGCAGCCAGCGCTCCAGAACATCCACAGAAGAGCTGCTTCAAACTCCGAGTGATTCGAAAAGACCCATTGACACACGCGCTAGCGCTAGTCAGACGCTATAACTGGGGAGAGAGAAGAGAAAGATTCAAACAAGTAACATAATGCCGCAATTCCACATTGACAGCGCTGCTTACCGATTCCGAGCAGGCTTTTCTTTCCTCACTAACAAGGCTATTCTTCCCTCAATCCCCATCTCTGGCACTCCCAAACGTCAGTCTCGGAATCCGGAATCTCGTAGCAGACGCGGATATGGGATGCCGGAGACGCACTGGGTTTCAGTGATCCCTGCGCCTGGGCGGCGGTCGCGACAAGCTTTCCCCGTTGTCTCGGCTAGCTTCCGAAATTGCTTGTTTCCTTCTGTTTCTAGAGGAGGTGACACAGCGTCTAACTATTCGAAACACCCCTCGCAGCCTACATATGGCTTTCGCCAATAGTTGTGGGGCGGCCGTGGAGGGCGTTGCCAAGGAGGTGGTATAGTTGCGACTCGTGCAGTACCAAGAGTTCAGACGGCATCGAAACACAGGACCCTACTACTACTGCTACTGACTACCTACCGCCTGTGACCTTCTTTGTCTACAGTACTTAGCGAGGCTAGATACATTGTTGCAGTTAGCTCGATGGTTGGAAGTGGGTTTAGGCTACATCTAACTAACAGAATTTGATAGAAGAACCGTGCTCATGTAGGGATATGTTAACCAAAACGCTTACGGGGTTGGATGGAGGGGGAAGGGGAGTTTGACTCTTTTTGTTACGAGGGTAAGTATTCTGAAAAAAAGAGAGCATCTACTAACATGTGGTAGTACAGTACTGTAGTAACTGCCTCTACTACTATTAACCAGCTCTCTATAATTATAAGTAGAGGGTTTTTCCTTCCAATAGTTATTCTCTCCAGCAGTTCTCCAGTTCTCTTTCTCATCACATCCTATTCCTTTCTTCCCAAGAGGTTTGTTTCCCCCCCCCCGCTCTTTATTGATTGATATACAATTCTAGGCAATTGATCACTAACCTTTTTCTAGCTGTGCTCATTTTATTCTCTTCTCCACCCATTCTTTTTTAAAACCCAAAGTCTTTGATAGGCATTTACTTTTATTTTTTCCTTTCGAAAATATCCACCATGAAGCTCACGCTCGCCCTTTCCGCCCTCATGGCCTCAGCGGCCATGGTCTCCGCCGTCCCCATGCCGCACGTCCACACCCACAACAACGCCGCCCAAGTCAAGCGCGCCCCCGAAGCCCACGTCCACACCCACAATAACGCAAACGCCAAACGTGCACCCGAAGCCCATGTGCATACGCACAACAATGCCCAAGTCAAGCGTGCCCCCGAAATGGAGAGGAGGGTCCCGGAACCACATCGTAGGCGCAAGTCGGCGTCGGCGTCGGCGACGGATGTGGCAGCTACAACGACTGCAGTAGCAGATACGACGGCGGTGGCGGATACTACTGCTGTTGCGGATACTACTGCTGTTGCGGATACTACTGCGGCAGCAACAGATACGGCGAGTGTGGTGGTTAAGCGTGCTCCGGAACCTCACAAAAAACATAGCACCGCAGCGGCGGCAGCAGCTACGACAACCGCAGTAGTTAAACGTGCCCCGGAACCTCACCGAAAGCATAGTACGGCGGCAGCAGCAGCGGCTACAACCGCAGTGGTTAAGCGTGCTCCAGAACCCCACCGGAAGCATAGTACAGCGGCGGCGGCGGCGGCTACAACTGCCGTAGTTAAACGTGCCCCAGAACCTCACCGCAAGCACAAGTCCGCCTCAGCAGCAGCAGATACCACTGCAGTCGCTGCAACCACCACGGCAGTAGCAGACACAACCGCCGCCGCAGATACAGCAACAGCAAGTGCCGTAGCCAAGCGCGCCCCAGTAGCTCATGTCCATACACACAATAATAAGCGTCAAGCTCTAGATTTTGGCTCCTGCTCCGACCCAACCATCATCTTCGCCACCGGACTCGACGGCCGTAAAGAGGCGTCGTTTGGGCCCGCTTCGAGCGACTTCAACCACGGCTCGGCCTTGAAGATTGGCGTCATTGCGGACTTTATCTGTAGCCAGCTGGCAAGCTCCTGCAAAGCCTCAGATGCTGCAGTCGCAGCCTGCAAGTCGGGTGCAACTGCTGCTTCAGCGCTCACTGGACAGGCTGCTGCGGATGCGTTTAATGCTGCTGTAGGCGGTGCTGGTGTTTCCACTGCTTCGGTTGATACCGCGGCCGATCCTTGCGATGATGCTTCTGAGACTGTTGCTGCGGCCGCGGCCACTACTACTGATCCTTGTGATGAAGCTACTGCCACTGTCGCCGCACGAGCTGTAACTGATCCTTGTGATGAAGCAACCCCAACTGTAGCTGCTAGGGCTGTAACAGATCCTTGTGACGAAGCCACTGCCACTGCCACTATCGCCGCCCGAGCAGTCACCGAGCCTTGTGACGACGCTACTGTGGCCGCCGCCGCAGCCACCACTGACCCTTGTGATGAAGCTACAGCTACTGTCGCTGCCCGAGCAGTCACCGAACCATGCGATGATGCCACTGTCGCAGCTGCTGCAGCCACTACTGACCCTTGTGACGAGGCCACCGCCACTGTCGCCGCCAGAGCCATGAGCGAGCCATGCGATGACAGCACCGTAGCTGCTGCCGCTGCCACCACCGACCCCTGCGATGAAGCTACCGCAACCGTCGCCGTAGCCGCCGCAACCCCCACCCCGCCCTGCGACGAGGACACCACCGTCGCCGCCGCCGCAGCCACTAGCGAGCCCTGTGCCGATGACGTCGCCGCAGCAGCCGTCGCTGGGAGCAAGAACCTCGACTTTGGCATCTGCACGGACCCCACGATGAAGTTTGGCGGCGGCTTTGACGGCCGCCCGGCCACCGAGAACTCGTTCCTGCCTACAAACAGCGACGGCAAGTTTAGCGGTCAGTCTAGCGCGCTGAACCCGAATATCATTGCGAACTTTATCTGCGATAATCTGGTCAACACTTGTAAGGCGGGCGCGGACGCGCTGGCGGCGTGTCAGGCGGCGAAGGCGGTGGTTGCGGGGTTGAATGTGAGGGATGCGAGTGTGGTGGTGAAATTTAATGCTGCGCTTGGGTTTTAAGTTCCGGTTTTTTAGGGGAGTGTTTTTTGTAGTGTAGTGTAGTGTTGAGGATGGGACGGGGAATGATATGGGTGGGTGGGATGGGATGGAGGCTGATCCTTTATTTTGGTTTAATGTTTATGTTTATGTATACGAGCCTTTAAGTATTTGGAATTGAACGTTAGTTAGGAGTAAAGAGTTCGAGTTCTATGGGGATATAGTTTTAAGCATCATGCTCGCTCAACTGTCCTTTCATAAAAGGCTTGGCTACCGAGTGATTATCCATGACCCAGATGTTGGATACGTGAAACTCAAGTCGCCTCTATCAGCGCTCCAGACACAATTCACACAAATAAGGTTTCTTGGCACGCGAGTGATGATTCATGACTAGCGTTCGCCACTACCACCGCCGCCGCCGCGAAGTTCAATGCCGCAACCAACCAATAAAGCCCTACATACATAGTAGCAGCGGCCGATCTCGCGAGCGCGAGTTTTACTCCAATTAGCTGTGCCTTTCGTGGGGCCTTCCACCTCGACCGCGCCACCCCCCAAGTCCTCCTCCCCCGCCAGTTGATGATTCCGCTGCAAATACCTTATTTGAGGTATCTCTCAATACCATCCAGTTAATTCAATTTAATGATAATATACCTCCCCGTACCCATCTTTTGATACCCCGTTGATGGTAGCTCTCTCTATACATTCATGAAATCTCAATACCCCCCAGAATATTTGAAATCCGGCCTGTTGACGGATTTGAAATTTTGAGTGGCATTTTGGGTGGACTGGTTGCTATGTAGGGTCAGGGTCCCCGCTCTCGACCAATCAGAGGGCTTCGGCGCACGCAAGAATTAAGGGTAGTACATATTAGACATACAATGTGCTCGGATCCTCGTCGCGGGGCAAAGCCCTGATCACCTCTAACCGCCTCGTCGACGGCCCCCCCAGCCCGACCTACCTCAACACCTTGCTATCTACACCAAAACCCATCCACACACTCGCCGCCAGGGATTGGCTCGCCCCGCAGCATGTATATAAGACCCTCCCCGCCCCTTCACCCCCCCACCGCTTGCGCCGCGCCACACCGCCCCCACCTCCACACCCACCTCCGCCTCCGCCCCCACCCTACCCTTTCTCCCTTCTTTGTCTTCAATCAAGAGTCTCAACAACTCTAGGAGGGGCCATTCGGACAGATGGTTTACTAAGGAGGTCGTCAACCAAAGAGGGAGGGTCCGGCGGGAGATCTTGTGTGGGCAAGGTGAATGGCTGTTCGCCACACGACTCTTTTTTTTTCTTTTCTCGGGCTCCGGGCTCTGGATGGATGACGAGGGGTTGGTGGGGTTTTGGGGGAATGAGGGGTTTGGGGGGGGTTTCGGGAGCTTGGGCGCTTACGGGCGGTGGTTTGGCCCTTTTTTTCCCCCCATCTCCTCTTCTTGCTACTTTTCGCAGCCGAGAGAGGGAGGGGGTGGGGTAAAGAAACAGTGCTCCTCAACCTCTCCCCTCTTGCCCTTTCAACGGGAGGATGGGGACACAAGAAACAGAACTGCGTGTGGGCTTCGCGGGGCGAGGGTTTTCCTCGTGCTAGGGGCGAGTGTGGGGCTTCTTTGGGTTTTTTTTTCCATCGTTCTCTGGCTGCATAGTGAAGGGAAGGTTTGGGGGGGAGGATGAATTACTTTGGGCCAGCGTTTGCCTTTCTGAGGCCGCAGGCCTTTTTGGGGGGGTATGGCTATTGGTCTTCCTGGGAGGGGGCGAGGCCCAGGGAAACTTGGTGGGGGAGACTTTTGCCCTCCTGTTGAGGGGGGGAGGCGGAAGGGGTTGCGGCGGGTACACTAGCTCTCACTTCTTGTTGTCCCTGGAGGGTCGGAGGGGGTGGGGTTGCGGGCTTTGGTTTTTATTCTGTGGGTTTCTCTCGTTGTCCTCTCTCTGGTTCCAGAGCGGTCGAGGGGACGACGAAAGAAATGGTGAGGAACGAGGTTCAGTGGCCTGCTTGCGGAATTCTCTCTTGCTCTTTCCCTGGCTTCATCGCACAGGACGGAGGGCAAAAAACTGTGGGTTTTAGTTTCTTCCTTTCTGTGGGCTTCCTGCCCCCAAATCCCTCCCCTCCTATTTCTCAACAGTTCAGGGAAAAGAGGTAAAGGTAAGTAAGCTTCTTGGTCTGTTTCCTCGTCTTCCTCTGGCTTCTCAGCGAGGAGACGGCGAAAAGAAACGCCGTGGTCTTACCTGTTTCCCTTCCAGTCGTGCTCTCCCTCCGGGCTAGCAAGAACAACGAACTTATGGGTTACGTTCATTGTTATGATCGTACATATAACCCTGCTTCATAGACGGATAAGACGACAGTAGTGGTGGGAAACAGAGCTATAATACCGAAGTCTGCTCGTATCGTAGATGTTGGACGGGAGTAACGAGGGTCTTGACAGCCATACTACGGGGGGGTGCTGTTTGTGGGTTTGGGGCTCGGGCTTATAACTGTTATTTTACAGGGCCGGATAATGGAAGACGGGAAAGAGAACCAAAATTATGTCAGAATAGTTAACGTTACAGTTGTTCATTTCCTTTCATTTGAGGGCATTGATGCCGGCTATATGGGTGTTCCAAGGATGAAATATTACAGTTATCGCCACGCACAGCCTTCGGTCAATACTACAACAAATCCCTTCAGAGTAACAAGTACCGAGTGATAGTCCATGATTGCGCACTGTGCCTCCCCGATGTAATCCCAGCTGCTTTTATCGCAGTCGCTACCTATGAGCGAGACAGAGGCCTCGCTTGATTAGGCTCGCAACCCGATGATAGTGTAAAATAGACGATGTTTTAGCACTAATTACTATATACATTGATCTCCTTGGGAGTGGCCGGTCTGATCGTGCTAGAGTGGATTCTCTTGGCGTAAGACTGTTTAATTCGTAAGATTCTAATGCGGACATTATATGTACATACATACAGTCTAGTTGGTGGAATGCTCAATGTATGAATAATTGGTTTAATCTTCACTTATGCGTAACGGAAGTTTTCTCCAACTTGTAAGATAGGAATATTCCCACTTCCGATGTTTGCAATTCCAAATTATCAGTCAGATGGGATAAACTCGGATTTCGAGTATACGAAAATCAAGGCGTCTCATGTCTAAAATGATCTAGCAAGTAGATAAAATAAATGTAATATATGGCTACATACATGTACACTCCATCTATCCATGGCCATAATCCCTCTAAAACGGAACAAAAAGGTAGAGAATACTCTTCTAAGATCTAATTTAAAGATTTCAGGGGCGGTTTGATTCACTTCCTTACAGTTGAAAAGACAACAGGTACTATTGTCCACCACACTAATTCTGTCAATTGAACCTAATAAAAACATATAACAACGCATTCATATCTTTATGGAATAGCCACCCACTCATTTCGGGTCAAGAATCACCCCCTCAAACTCCCTCGATGCAATATAGTCCAAAGTTCTTTCAAAGTGTTTCCTCGGCGTCTCGGTTGTGGAACTGTCGTTCGCACTAAGATTGCTCTGGATCAACTCAATGAGACCATTGAGGTATTTCACCGTGACCTATAAAATCCGCCCTGAATTAGTATTTACCCCTCAAATTCCTAAAGGAGATTTCTTTGCTTACGGCCTCATTCTGTCTGTCAAAGTAGTACACATAACGATTAAGAATCTCTACAAATAACTCCACACTAACTGCTGTATCCATGCACGCATCTGCAACCCTGAGCGCACGCTGGAGGCACTCAAGCACTCTCTTTCCATCCCGGTATAGTGGCGTCTTCTCATCTTCATTTCTGGCCGCAATTTCGACAGCCCACCAGAGATGACTAGCAAGGTACACTGCACGGCACTGGTCTGGTTTCTTCAAAAGTTTACTGCCATATTGAGCACATTTTGTGATGAGTGTATCGTAGTTCTCTTTTGAAAAGTTTCTTGTCGAGTGTAGAGCATTCGCGATGACGCATACCGCTTGGAACTGAGCGCGGGAATCGCTGATAGCTTCCTCATAAACAGTGAACGCTTGCGCAAAAAACTCATATGAAACTTCCTCAAACTCAGTTTGGTCTGCTACCTGCCCGCAGAGGAGGAACAAGCGGAGGCACAGATCCGGAACACCAACTCGGGAGTAAAGTGCAGATACGCTCTGGTGGAGAAACTTATAGAGTGCAGCCGACATTGTCTGCCATTCATCGTCGTAATGCTCGCGGGTCTTATAGCGACGGGCGAGCTTGATACCAGCGGTGATGAGAGCAGGGGTTGTGTAGCGCACTCTTTCACCACCTTCAGCGAAGGCCTTTTTAGCGGCTTGGAGGAGCTGAAATTGATTAGCACAACTTTAGGTACATTATAAGAATAGTACACACCTTAAACTGAGTGTCATTGTTCTCGTTGTATAGCAGATGAACAATTCTTGCTAGTCGTCCTTGCTCTTCTACCGTCTCATCGGTCTCGGCCTCTCTCTTTCGAGGAGCTTGAACTCCGGGGTATCCTTGAGCTTGTTGGGCACCTTCACGGATCAAAACGCGCAAAAGTTCGAACACTCCTTCAGCATGCTCAGGGGTAGAAATCTGGGTTTGATTTTTGAGTATGTTTTGAGCGACTGTGCCAGCGACTGAGCGGCGAGTGGGGTAAGACTGTGCGTGTAAGAGGGGGACATAGCTTGGTAAGGCAAGCACGGTAAAAAGAGATGCATATGATTTGACTGGGGCAAGCATAATGCTAAGAATATTCTGTTGGCATGGCGCAGAGTGTAGATCTGCACTGTTGGCCATTTCAGACACCTTTTGATGGGTGTATCTATGAATAATTAATATTATGTCCTGAAATATTTGGGATTGGACTTACGCTAAGATCTGGTCGACATATTCTGCGTGAAGTGTTCGGTTAGCATAATTAAAACGAGATAGAAATGCAATTTATATACCTAGTTTGTCGGGATAGACATTCAATGCTAAATTCGATAATGACACTAGAAGCGCTGTAATATCTTGAATTGGTAGGTTTTGGGCCTTCGAAGAAACGTGGAAATC